AGAAAGTTAGGTTAAGATTCAAATTAGTAACATGGGTATGTCTCTCACTTCTTATCTCTCTCTCTCGGAAACTAACAATATATATATAGATGGGTAAAGAAGAATTGTCTCCAAGGGCGTAGACAGTTTAGGTATATCCATCGTCATCGTCAACGAGAGTGTCGTCGGAAGCAGACAAGAAGAATTGAAAGCGCGCGGTAGTACGGCGCGAAGAGAGAGATCCTAAATTAGAGCAAGAGAGATAGAAAGACGGACGAGGGTTAAGTAACTCGAATAAATTATGGATCAAAAGATAAGAATCAATGATGCATTGAAGATCTAATAATTTCTCAAGCTTTGACCAAGATTTGGACGGTTGTGATGTTGATCTAATTTTTTGTTGGGCTTATGGGGAGAAATGAGTTAATAGACTGAATTAAATAGTACATTTGGCCCAAAATCCAACAGTATATGTCATTAATTTATAATCCAGTTCATTCTAAGATCTTAAAACAAAAATCAATTTAAAATACTTTAATCTCGTATTAGAATAAATTCGAATGAAACGATTAGATCATTATTTGGGCTTAACACAAGGCCTGCTCCCAGCTTTAGTTCTTTTACGTGGGACGAACCATAATTATTTATTTGGGCCGAACTATAACTAAAGTCGCAACCATTGGAATTATTCCTAAATGAAATGATAAACGTCTGACGCTTTTAGTAAATGACGGCTAAAATAAATAACGTTTATTTCTTATTTCAATACCACCAACATAAAAAATAGAAAATTAATAGGTAATGACATTAATACCCTTAATAAAATAAATATCAGACAAGTTTTGTGTGTGGTATTGATTTTCATTAAGCGTAATAATGTCATTAGCTATTTATTATCTATTTATCTATTATTTTTGGTATCATTTGATATACACCTAGGGGTGCAAGTTGGAACGGAATTTCCAATTTCCGCCGGTTTCGATCCGAAAAGTTCCGATTTTGGAACAACTTTTTTCATTCCGACTTCCGAAATTCCGATTTCCGAATTTTTTGGATTGGAATTGGAATTATATAAAGTATATTTGGAATTTCCGATCCGATTTAATTCCGATATTATTTCCGATTTTTTTCCGAAAAATACACCTATAAATAATATATTTTATAGTATATTTATTTTCCAAAACAATACGCCTATAACTTTTGTTTTAGGATTTTGACATAATGAATTGTTGTTAAAAGTTTTATTGGATATTATGTTGTGTTTATATTTATTTATTTTTTTGAACTGAAATTTAGTAATTATTAGTTTTACTTTTATCGATGTGGATGTTCTTATTTTTAAAAAAATATGAACATCCTAGAAAATTTGGGCTAAGTTTTGAAATTTTAAAGCTTATGTGATTTCCGATTTTTTTCCGAAATTCCGAAATTTCCGGGTCTTTTGGAATTGGAATGAATTTTTAGATTCCGAAATTTTTGGAATTGGAATTGGAATCGATTTTGTACTTCCGATTTTTTTTGGAAATTTTCCGAAAAGGCTAATTCCGATCCGATCCATCCGACTTTCACCATTCACCCCTCATATGGAAAATATATAGGGATAGGTCCACCCCTAAAATTATTCCTTTGAGATACCCCCTTGAGAGGTAAAAGTACTATAGTGCCCTTATGTGCAATTTTCGCCCAACTGCATTCAACATTTTCACCAACTGCATTTAGCATTTTGGACCTGCATTTAGTATCTTTTGTACTGCATATATCCTGATTTTTTTAATATTTTTTATTCATGTATATATATATTGTACTATTTGTTTATTATTATTATTATATTTTTTATAAAATGTTTTTCTTAATATTTTGACTTTTTTTTTAATTTTTTAATATGTTTTTTTATTTTTTTTATTAATTCGAATTTTTGGTAAAATTACTGTACTGAAAGTATACTACACATGACTACAGTGTACTACAAGTTCAATAGTCATGTATAAATATATGTAGTAACGTACTGTCTTTTTACTCCAAAATTCATCCACACCAACAACAAAATTCACAATTTGGATCTTCATATTATAAATCAACTAACAAACAAAAAATAAAAAAGCACAATTACATGCATATATTCTTCAAACATAATCAAGCATCATTGTACGTTAAAAAACCTATACATGTCGTAATATATAGTTATATATAGTGACATAAAGTCTAAACAATAATTAATTTTTATATGAAAACTGTCTTAGTTACTAAAAGGGAGCGGCTAAAACAAATACCGTTTCTTTCTAACTTCAATACCAGCAACATAAAAAATAAAGGAAAAATGAGTGATAACCCCCTAGTTTTGAAAATATAAATGAGGAGACCCAATAAATATTTCCTTCCTAGTCAAAAACTCAAATTCTGATCTTAATTAGTGAGACCCCCCTGGACAACTTGAAGTACCTATTTTACCCTTTTAGTTTTAATTCAATATATGCCCTAATCTCCTAATCTTATCTTTTATGACTCACACGTTCCCACACCGCGCCGTTCTCTCCCTCTCTCGCCAGATTTGGCTTCTCCCTCTCTCTTCATCTCTCTTCGTCTCTCCCGCTTTCTTACTCTTTCTCGCCAGATCTCGCATCGACAAAGAAGAGGAAGAAAAAACGCAACCCAAACTCTTCACCATCCGTTGCGCCGCCGGATCGCCGTCGAAAAAGCTACACCCTCACTCTTCTCCCCGACGATGGCATCGGCCCCAAAGTTATCTCTGTCGCTAGGAATGCCCTACAACAAGTCGATTCCATCGAAGGTAATTAATCAACGAGAATTGAATTTATTAGAAAATTAATGAGAATTTACAGAGGAGAATATTTTCCGAGTGCTGATTGAATGATTTGATTTTATCGATTTTGTGTGTTGCTTTTTGAAGTTGAAGTTGTATGAAGTGAGGGCTGCTTCAAAAACTTGACAAACACTTATGAATCCAAGATGTGTGTCCATGGCCAAAACGGACTCAATCATGAGAACTAAAGAAATGTGAGAATAGTATTTGTGTGGGTTGCATTGTCTTGTTTTACACGAACAACTGACAGTTCAAGACATCGCGTTCACTACTCAGCCTAGTAAATCCGATGTAACTCCACTACGGAAGGTTAAAAGGTATATGCTACCTATCCCGATGCAATACTATTCGTGGGAAGTCTAGAGAGAATCGACGCCCTCGTTTGCATTCATGTGGGGGATTGTTGGGAAAATAGGTTAAAAATTGAGTCATGAACAATTTTTATCGATGTTATTGTATGGTCAAATTGATTATATAAATCAATGTTTGGATTAGATTAATATAAAACCAATTTTGTGGTGAATGAAAAATTACTAGTCCAAAATATAAGGAAAGTGGGATTTTGAGCTATCCCACATTGAAAAAGTAGAGAAATACGGAGCTGTACATATATCTAAATATTGGGACAAATGGTCACGCCCTTTGGGCATTCAACTTTGTTTGGGAGAAATGCCTACATGTTATGTGTTTCGAATCGTGCCCAAACGCGCGCACGCGCCGCCGCCGTCTGTCCGACCGGCCAGTCGGCTCGGCTCGTGCGTACGTACGTATGTATCGGATTTGGGCTTGTGCCCAAATCACTACATTAGGTTGGACTCTTCTTACTCGAATGGTCTGACTGGTTTGAATTGGTGCGGCCGAACCAATGCAAACCAATCGGCTTAACTCGAAATGGTGCAACCATTCAGCCCAAAATGTACCTTATAAATAGACCCCGTCTTTCCCATAATTCCTCACTTCAATCCAAAATCAGTTCGTCGTACTTGGGATTTGGAGTGCTCCTATTCCAAGCCTTGCCGTTGTATCGATTTCAGTACAGTAAATTTATCAAAGAAAAAAAAAAGTTCATGTTTTTTTGTATTTTTCATGTAATCTAACTCGCATGTTCCATTTTTCTGTTTAACTCGTATTTTTTTGTCGCATGTTTTGCTTTTACTATAATTTTATGAGATGTAGAGAATAAGATGCGGTGAAGTGCCTTGTGAAGTTAGATTAATGCGATAGTAGTCTAGAATTTATGTCACTATATATAACTATATATTATGACATGTTAATACATATGCATATATAACTATATATTACTGCATATTACTATACGTGACTATATATGACTACCAAAATATTCATATCAAAATAGAGCTTCAGGAATTATTATCAAGGGTAATAAATAATTTTTTGGAGCTGTTATAAACCTTGGTTCAAAAGCAACAAACTCAACTGAACCTGAATATTGAGTCAACGAACCAACTACCTGCAATTTGAGTCATCATTAAATCATTCATTACCCAAGAGAAACTACAATTTTGTGCCAGCATAAGATATATAAAATAAAATATAATAATATAAAATAAAATGTGAAGAAAAAAAAACAATTTTTTAGTTGAACAACATGAACAAAACCATCAATTGATTAATTAATTAATTAATTTCTTCAAATTATTAAACGATTACAGTACCGAATAGAGAAAGGGAAAGCTGAAAATCCAACTTCAAAAAGCAGCACATAAAACCGATAAAATCAAATCATTCAATCAGCACTCAGAAAATATTCTCCTCTGTAAATTCTCATTAATTATTTTCTAATAAATTCGATTCTCGTTGATTAATTACCTTCGATGGAACCGACTTGTTGTAGGGCATTCCTAGCGACAGAGATAACTTTGGGGCTGATGCCATCGCCGGGGAGAAGAGTGAGGGTGTAGCTTTTCGACGGCGATCCGACAGCGCAACGGATGGTGGAGAGTTTGGGTTGCGCTTCTTCTTCTTCTTTGTCGGTGCGAGATCTGGCGAGAAAGAGTAAGAAAGAGGGAGAGACGAAGAGAGATGAAGAGAGAGGGAGAAGCCAGATCTGGCGAGAGAGGGAGAGAACGGCGCGGTGTGGGAACGTGTGAGTGATAAGAGATAAGATTAGGAGATTATGGCATATATTAATTAAAACTAAAAGGGTAAAATATGTACTTCAAGTTGTCTAGGGGATTTCACTAATTAAGATCATAATTTGGGTTTTTTATTAGGAAGAAAATATTTATTGGGCCTCCTCGTATATATTTTCAAAACTAGGGGGTTATCACTCATTTCCCCTTTATTTTTTATGTTACTGTTATTGAAGTTAGAAATAAACTGTATTTGTTTTAGCCGCTCCCTTTTAGTAACTAAGACAGTTTTCATACAAAATTAATTCTTATCTTCAACATCATTGTTTCAGATTTCAGTAATTCCACGTCGCTTACACTTTCAAAAGTCCCCTTTAGCTATTTTCGAAATGCTTTTGAAAAATTTATAGAAAATTTAGATGAGACAAAAATTGCGAGATGAACCAGTTTTCTTGGAATTGATGTAATAAACAATATTCTTGTTCGCACAATTTTATATGTTTTTTCCATTTCTATAAATTAATTACTCATAGAATTACCTAATCGCATAGTATAAAGATTTGATGCTATTATTTGGTATCTTGGTAGAAGGTTGACCTAATTTAACTACTAATTTGTAGCATTATTTTGGACCCACGCAATGACAATTATACAACTATTGCGAGATATATGAAATAATAGTCTAGGTCATTTTTTTATTATTTTTTAAATTAAACGAGCATATTAAATCACAAACATAAATATCTAATCACAATATGTTATAGTACGCACCAAGTTGAAATTAAGGAATTTTGAAAAAGAAAGTCAAGGAAAAAGAATGATTAATTCACTATCAGTTAGTTAATCAATGTATTTTCAACAAAAAGGAGCAACTATCAATTCATTTTCGTGACATTTTATTGGTTTTAATTCGTATAATTATCATTATAGAAATTTCAAATGCTGAATTTTAAATATAAAGCACTTATAGTGGTAATTCTCTCTTGCGCAGCATATCTAGTTGGGTACTTATCGTCCAATTATATGCCCGACTCGATCAATCGGTTTTGCTAAATATTAAAAATCATTATCGACCTGACCATCATTGGTCGGGTAACGATTGACAACCGACATTATTTAACTATTCTGTAATTTGTTTTAACAATAATAATATGTTTGTAATTTTTTTTCCAAAAGATATGAAAAATTGAAAAACTTATGTCGCAAAAGTCCTAACTTTAAAATTAAGAGAGTGTTTTGTACTAAATTTATACAATAAGTAAATACAAAGTGAAGAATATATTAGAATTATAAAATAGTTTGAGGTTTATAAAGTTGTATTTTGCGTTATTGAGTTTTTGACTTTTTCTATATATTATTTTAACTTTAAGAAAATAGGAATTATAATTAGTTTTTATTATTAAAAAAATCGGTTGGTCGAGTAATATTGGCCAACCGACTTCTGAGTAAATTGAAAATCATTGACCTACCCTTTTATATATAGATCAGTTAAAATTATTGAGTACCCGCCAATAAAAATGAAGCAAAAGTGGGTCGATTGACTGATAAAGTCGACCCATACTCAACCTTAAATACGCGTGTATATTAATAAGGGTTAACTGCAAAAAATCCCCTAAACTTTGGACGTTTTTGCACTTTACCCCCTGAACGGAAAAAAGTTGCACGAGCATACCTCAACTTACTAATTTGTAGCACCGGAACAGAAATTGTCCATTTTTGGCAAAATGTGGCCGGAATCCACAACACGTGAGAAGCACATGATTTTAGCTGGATAAATTGGTCTTTTCCACTTACACTTATTTTCTTCTTTTTTAATAAATATAAATAAATCTTAAAAAAGAAAAAGAAAAAGAAAAAGAAAAAAAATTCATCTTCTTCACGTCACCACCACCAAAAAACAAATTACTCTTCGTCCTTCTTCAGCCCACCGCCGTCCGCCGCCCGCCGATTCTGATTTGCCGCCTGCCGCTTCTAATTCGCCGCCCTCCGCCGCTTGCCTGCTTCGCAATACCCTCCTAGAAATTGACAATGCCATTAGCAGAATCTCCACGATCTACAGCCAAATCAAAACACATTATTTATTTCCCCCCTAATATTCAGCTTCAGAAAGTGAATGAAACAGAAAGTCAGACAACTACGAGGTTTAATTGAAATTAAATCCCTAAAGACTGAGTTACACCATAGTTATCCTCTGTATATGAAGAAATAGTAACGCAACATACATACCAGCAAGAGAGAGAGAGGAGAGAGATTTCCGTTCAAAATGAGACCCTTGATAAACCCTTCTGTAACTCTGTTGTTGCGAGAAAGAAATTTGACGGATGCGGTTCGGGTAATGGATTCGACCCGAATATTAAATGTATAATTTATAAATTTATATCTTCCCAAATTCACTAATTGAACATGAGGGCATTCGTCCTCTTAAATCTGTCTGGCGGCAGATTTGGTGGTGGTGGTGGTGGTATAAAGGAAGAAATTGGTCGCGGCGGCGTCCCGAGGGGTTGTTGGGGTATAGGCGGAGGAATTGTTGGTGGAGTTGGAAGTGGCAGTGGAGAAATTGAAGGTGGAGGGTTAGGCGGTAGTATAGGTGGCGATGTTGGCGGCAGATTTGGTGGTGGTGGTGCGGCGGCGGAGCCGATGTGGGGAGAGAGGAAGAAAGACAGCCGCTGTTTTCTTTTTTCCTTTTTATTTCTTTTTCATTTTTTCTTTTTAATTTTCTTTTTTACTAAAATTATTGTGAGTTGACAAAATTACCACTCCATTTTCACGTGTGAGTTGCACGTGTGCAATTCTGGGAACAATTTAGCTAAAATTGGACGATTTTGATGTCGGTGCTACAAAAACTAGAGTCCAGGTATGCTCGTGCAACTTTTTTCCGTTCAGGGGGTAAAGTGCAAAAACGTCCAAAGTTTAGGGGATTTTTTGCAGTTAACCCTATTAATAAATTAGTGAAACAAAAGATATGCCTCCAAATGAACCTAGGAAGTTAATTTAAAGTGTATCCAAAATAGATTTGAATGGCAAATACTTTAACCCTTTTGAGAGACAAAATAATTAATAAGACATCCTTCAACTCAATCATGGAAAATTGGCTTCAATGCTAAGATTAAAACCTTCTAGTAACTCAACACGAGTAATCATACCATTTTCCAACATAATTCTTTGCCTTCTCCAATATTTATTTTACTTCCTCTATTTTGACCCATTCTTCTTTACAAGTTTATTACTCCTCTCTTTTTCTAGAAATAATACTTATTTTTATTTTTATTTTTGTTTTCATTAAATTAATACTTTAGTTGCTTCTTTTTAAATATTGTTTAAGATAAATGCAAACTAATTAAAAAAAATATATTATTTAGTCTTGATTTGTGAAAAAAATCCTTATTTAACTAAGTTATTCCTGAGTGGATTTTCATCTTATCTTTCTCATTTTCGTAATTTATCATTAGTGTTGGGTAAAGTTGGAAAAAAGTAATTAATTTTATTTTACATGCATTTACATTAAACAATACTTAAACTAAAACTTGGAGAGTATTTACTATACTATCCGCCAATAGGACAAAAACACAGCTTATTTTGTTTTACAAAATCTATATTATTACATAGTTTTACACCGTAAATTTACACATAGTCACCATATATACATACAAACATACGTATGGACTATGGAGTGATATTACATTTGATAAAGTTGACTAAGAAAAAGACGAAAACACCCCTAACAGAAAGCAATAACTGCCAAACGGCGAAACCTTCAAGCGGAAGTATAGAAAGAAATAAAATAAACGAGGAGGCGTCCGTGCCAAGAAATCCCCTCATTTCCTCTCTCTTCCAATCCTCAACTTCTCTCTCCTCTCTCTCTCTCCTCTCTCTCTCTCTAGATATACATATATAGATAGATACACACACATTACACATACGTACAAACATTACTCACACAATTTATACACTCACGCACGTTCATTACACCCTTCTCTACATAACCAACTTCCATTTTCTCTCTCTTTTTCACAAATAATATATTCATCCCTTAATTCTCTTTATTTTTTGTAATTCTTACTTCATCTCAGCCGCCCACAATTTCAAAGGTAACACACAATTTTTAAACTATTAATTTTCCTTTTTTTTTTCCATTTCCGTCAAATTAAAGCGGTTGTCTTCATCTTCAACCGCTTGATATATATATATATATGTATGTGTGTGTGTGTGTGTGTGTGTTTGTGTGTTATGATTCATTTCTGTTTTGCAATTTCTTCATAGATTCTACTTAATAAACAGGGGAAATTGTTAGTAAATGATTTTTGCCTCTCTATTTTTCTAGATTTTATAAGACTGGAATTAATTAGTTTGATTTATTTGTTTTAATTTCAGAAATACGGATTAATTAGTTAAGATGATCGGAGAGTTCATCACCAGTTGTTTAATGTAAGTTGTAATCATTTCAAATTAAAATTACAGAATCTCTCTCTGTTTCTTCTTTTCTTTTTGTCGGTTTTCTTTATCCACCTTTATTTTTAATAAATAATTTAATTTTTTTTGAGCAGATTGGTTCTTGGATACGCATACCCTGCATTTCAGTGCTTCAAAACTATAGAGAAGAACAAAGTTGAAATCCCAGAACTCAGGTTTTGGTGTCAATATTGGTAAGTAATTAATCATTTTTACATCTAATTAATCATGTTTACGAAGCAAGATTTCAACTAATCAAAATGATTCATGAAATTAAGAATATCTGTCAAAACAAGTTGTTGTTAATTTAAATTAAACATTTGAATTAGTCTTTGACGAATGATTATTAAACTACCTACCTCCGTTTGTGTGTCAAACAAGTTAATATTAATTAAATTAATCTTGTGAATTAGCCTTGATGAATCATATATATTTTGTATATGAAAATGACTTATTTTTGTGTATGTTTTTTTGTTGTTGTAGCTATCCAGAGTTAGTAATTGACTATTATTATTCAACATTAGAAATATTAAATATTACACATTCATCATCCGACAATAAATCAATTGTTTTATCATGACCGAAAACCCCACATCCATCGAAATTGTCAACTGATGTTCGGTAATTTGTGGTTTATTACAGGATAATCGTCGCGGTTATAACAGTTCTCGAGAAAATCGGCGATGTTTTCATTTCATGGTATGTTAATATAATTTCAAGAACCTTGGTTTATTTTGTGTATAATTTAATGTAATTTAATTGAATTTGGTCACAGGTTGCCTATGTATGGAGAGATGAAATTGGCCCTTTTTATCTATTTATGGTATCCAAGAACACAGGTAATAACACACAAGAATCACCATATGTATATTGTATTCACATGTTATTTTTTATTTTATTGTATTTAATTAATTAAAATTTAAAAAAAAAAAAAAAAAACAGGGAACAGGATACGTGTACGATACCTTATTACGGCCGTATGTTTCGAGACACGAGACAGATATTGATAGAAGTTTGATAGAATTTAGAGACAGAGCATGGAATTTAGCAATTTATTATTGGCATAATTGCACGGAGCTTGGTTCGACGAAAGTTCTCCAATTTCTACAATTTGTGACTTCTCAATCTGCTAGGGTTACACATCCACCTTCCGAGGTATAAAACAATACTTAAACCTCGATTTCGTCGAAAAATCTTTTTTTTTTTTTTCTTCAATGCAAATTTTCAAGAAAATGAAAACCAATAATCCTTTGTATGCTAATTTTTTAATTGTAGAATCCGGTGAATCAGCACACCGGTGGTGGTGGAGCTCCTACTCCGTCAGCACCGCCGGCACCTTCCGGACTATTCAGGTGGAGCAGCAAGAGGCGGCAGTCGCCTCCGGCGGGACCGGCCACCACTCATCATCGCAACTACACACCCAAATCGGAGTCTATTAAAGTTGAGCTTCAGAACCAAACACATTTTATTCGACCGGAGGATGTTCTAATTCCTGATTCGAATATTGGCAGTAAATTGAGAGAGAAATCGGATGCGGACCACGATGTGCACGCTGCTAGGGTTAGGCTTAGGCGATTCATAGACGGTGGTAATAACTAATTAGTTGGCTGAAAATGGTGTGACGGTCTGTAAATTACATGAGATTGTTGTGCTCACTAACTCAAGTTTCAAATTTATTCTTTTTTTTTTTTTTTTTTTTTTTTGCAATTTCATTTTTTTTTTTAAAACGTATAGTTTGCGAATGTGTCAAATTTGTCATTACATCTGAAAGAAAAGGTGTGGTGAAGGGGGCACATAAAATATTTTTATTGAGTTTTCACTATTACAAACAAATGTTGAAGTTCTCTACTTGAAATTGTACGTTACATCATGTCGAAATTATTAATGCGCATCTTAGTCATATTGGCGACGCGCATCGCATCATGGACCTGCAAATTGGGTCGGGTGAGGTGCTAGAATTAGCACTTCGACGACGTCCAACTTAGTACATCTCAAATACTAGACAAATATTGTAGAGATCAAGTGTGACGGAGAGTAGTGAATAACATATACACTAGGGTTAAAACACATGGCTTGAATCGATAATATTAAAATATTATATAATTTAAAACAAAAATAGAATGATATTACAAAATATTTGTTGCTACAATATTGATAATATTAGAATTTGCGACAAAATACTAATAATCTGAATATCAAAAAGAATGTGTTGACAAACATGTTTGATTGGCAATGAGTTGTGACAAACATGTTTAATTGACAAACATGTCTAAACAAAAAAACAAAAAAAAAAAAAAGGGAATAATATTAGCTGTGATCCAAAAAAAATAAACTTCATTGAATCTGATTTTTGTTCAAAAAAAAAAAAAAAAAAAGAATAAACACTATTGAATTTGATTAATCAAACGGGAAAAAATGTACAATTATTACTGTCTGAATCCCCAAATACCAATCAATAATGATAATTTATTAGGAATTTCAACTAATCTATGAAATTAGACCCGTTGCGTTCTGGAGATCCGGACCCGGAAAAAACGGAGGGTCCCGTCGAGGGCCCGAATAATCCACCCGCAGACGAAATCAACGAACGCGGCGGCGCGATTCCATAAACGCTGGCAACAATTGCCGCCGTCGAAGTCGGGGGTGATGGATGCAGGGCGGAGGTAGGCGCACGCAGCCTGCTCGACGAGACGGTTCCGGATGCGGATATCGGGCCGGGCCAAGGCCGCGGGGGAGTTGACCGGTGACTGGGGCAAGAGGTCCCTCAGAGAACTGTATTTGTGGGTTTTAATCGGCCGCAATTCCAGATCGTCGGCCGATAAGGAGGACGGCGATTGGACGGTGGGAATCGAGTGGTGGTTGGGAGCAACAACCATAGCGGAGTGGAATAGGATAAGGAAGAAGTGGTGGCGCCGGTGAAATGTTTTTTTTTAATATCCGCCGGAGAGAGGAGATTTGGTGGTGTACTGTTTGTGTGTGTGTGGGGGGTGGTGTTTTATACCGTTTCGCGGGGAGGAAGAATTTCATTTTCTGTTATTATTTGTAGGGCAATTATTGGCGTATCTAGTTTTAGATGAACCGTAAAATCTTTGAAACGGCGTCGTACTACATACTAATTACTGAGTGTTTTGATTTTTTTAAGTTTTTTAAATCAAAAGACTCGGTAACAAGAAATAGTAAAATCTAATCTGAACAAGATCCGCCGGGTATATATGCTGCGGAAGAGAGAATATTAGGTTTGATTTGACTTTCTGATTTTAAATTACCACCAATTATATGGCAGTCGCTATCGTTCTGTTAGTTGCTGACTCAGCACTCTTTTTTTATTCAATCATTTCCCATTGCTTCGAAAAATAAGTGAAAAACACATTAATATAAGAAAGAAAAACTGCATTATTATATATCAAATCATGGCGTAAAATAGAATGTCAAAACATATTACGGAAAAACAGTAATTAAAAAAAGAAAAATCAATACATTGTTCTGACAAAGTTGAAGTTTAAAAACAAATTCAAATACAAATTCATCAAACGTGACCACCACCACGAAGACGGAGCACAAGGTGGAGGGTGGACTCCTTCTGGATATTATAATCGGCAAGCGTGCGTCCGTCTTCGAGCTGTTTCCCAGCAAAGATGAGCCTTTGCTGGTCCGGTGGAATCCCTTCCTTATCTTGAATCTTTGCTTTCACATTGTCGATTGTATCGGAACTCTCCACCTCCAAAGTGATCGTTTTGCCCGTCAAAGTCTTGACGAAGATTTGCATTCCTCCTCTCAATCGCAGCACCAAATGAAGAGTCGACTCCTTTTGAATGTTATAATCGGCAAGTGTTCTACCATCTTCGAGCTGCTTACCGGCAAAGATCAGTCTTTGCTGGTCTGGAGGGATACCTTCTTTGTCCTGGATTTTCGCCTTGACATTGTCGATTGTGTCTGAACTTTCAACTTCCAAAGTGATTGTCTTTCCAGTCAATGTCTTTACGAAAATTTGCATCCCACCACGAAGCCTTAGCACAAGGTGGAGAGTCGATTCTTTCTGAATATTGTAATCAGCCAGCGTTCTGCCATCTTCGAGCTGCTTACCTGCAAAGATTAGTCTTTGCTGGTCCGGAGGGATGCCTTCTTTGTCTTGGATTTTGGCTTTAACATTGTCGATTGTGTCTGAACTTTCGACTTCCAAAGTAATCGTCTTTCCAGTCAATGTCTTGACGAAGATTTGCATGCCACCCCTCAACCGCAACACAAGATGGAGAGTTGATTCCTTTTGAATGTTGTAATCCGCCAATGTTCTACCATCTTCAAGTTGCTTTCCGGCAAAGATCAGTCTTTGCTGGTCTGGAGGGATCCCTTCTTTGTCTTGGATTTTGGCTTTAACGTTGTCGATTGTGTCTGAACTTTCGACCTCCAAAGTGATTGTCTTTCCAGTCAAAGTCTTAACAAAAATCTGCATTCCACCACGAAGTCTTAGGACAAGATGGAGAGTCGATTCTTTCTGGATATTGTAATCAGCGAGGGTTCGACCATCTTCAAGTTGCTTTCCAGCGAAGATCAATCTTTGCTGGTCTGGAGGGATCCCTTCCTTGTCTTGGATTTTGGCTTTGACGTTGTCGATTGTGTCTGAACTTTCAACCTCCAAAGTGATTGTTTTGCCGGTAAGAGTTTTTACAAAAATCTGCATCCCACCACGAAGCCTTAGGACAAGGTGGAGTGTAGATTCTTTCTGGATATTGTAATCAGCGAGGGTTCGACCATCTTCGAGTTGCTTGCCAGCAAAGATCAATCTTTGCTGGTCCGGAGGAATGCCTTCCTTGTCCTGGATCTTTGCTTTGACATTATCGATCGTATCTGAGCTCTCGACTTCAAGAGTGATGGTCTTCCCGGTAAGAGTTTTCACAAAAATCTGCATCCCACCACGAAGCCTTAGGACAAGGTGGAGTGTAGATTCTTTTTGGATATTGTAATCTGCGAGGGTTCGGCCATCTTCGAGTTGTTTACCAGCAAAGATTAACCTCTGCTGGTCCGGGGGAATTCCTTCCTTATCTTGAATTTTAGCTTTGACGTTGTCGATCGTATCTGAACTCTCGACCTCGAGAGTGATCGTCTTGCCGGTAAGAGTCTTTACAAAGATCTGCATCTGGAATTCCAAAAATAAAACATAAGTACATCAACAGTAGATACAAACTTAAATTCAATATGCAGTAGGATCAAGAGAAAAGAGGTAATAGCTAATAATAACTGCAAGGACAATATACTAAAACAACACATTCCTTATTTCATTCAAATAGCTTTAACATCTTCCGTTAATACTGAATTGATTATCTTTTCCATCTACAATAATCAGCTAATCCCACTAAATTCCGAGACAAAACTTACATTCAATTGGACACATTACACTAGATTCTGATTTTTTTTGTCCATCACGATACTATGACATAGTTTAATAAAAAATAAAAACACAAAAAAAAAAAAAAAAATTTCTTCTCAGTATTAATCTGAAGCTACGACCAGATTCTAATTCAGGGATACAAAAGAACAGGTGATCATCAATAAAAATCGTCACCCTAAAAAACCAGAAAATTCCACCACGAACCGAAGCTAAATAAATACAAAAAACCTAACCCTAATCAAATTGTGATAATCAATAAAAATCGCCACCATCAAAAACCACAAAATTCCACCACGAACCGAAGCTAAATAAATACATAAAACCTAACCCTAACCCTAATCAAATTGGCCAGATCAAATACACGCGCTCTATCAAAAATCAAAGCGAATAGTATACACCATAGATAAACAACCGAATCGGAGAAGCAGAAGAAAAAAGTAATTTACCTTGAAGGCGGGGTGGAGTTGGAGAAAAGCGAAGAATTTGTTTTGAGATTAGTTTGACGAACAAAAGTATGAATTGCTGTGAGAAAGGGGGGATCAGTGGGTTTATATAGAGCTGGAAAAGCCGGAATAAGGGAAATTTTGTTATTAAAAGCGCGTGGACGAATTAATTAATGGCCCTCGTGAGTTAGCGTAAAAGCGTGTGATTAGGAGTTTGGGTTTCCTTAGGACCAAAGAACCCTCTCCGATGTTCTAGATGCTTCGTCTCGGCCGTTGCTTTATTTAGAAGTTTCTCTTAATTTGACTTTTACCCCTTAAAACTATTCAATGAATTGTTAATATGTACGTTATACCCCCTAATAAATTATATATTTTAGGGTAAATTACAACCACACCCCTAAGGTATGGTCAAATTACGAAAACCCTTTTCTTGTTTGGGTAATTACAACTATTTCATCAACTATAAATCTTCTTACACGTCCACCCTTGCGGTTTCAAATTTGGTAGAATCTTCGAGATTATATAGAATATTATCACTTTTGTATCCACTTTATCCAATTCGAACTCCACATTTTGAAGCAAGATGATCATAATACGTGTTTTTTGGCTTGAATGTATCAGATTGTGGTGCATCATAAACTCTATTTTACACAAAACGATTACAAAGTAGAGCACATTCTATGAAATCTAGATGATTATGTTGAATTTTACACCATAAGGGTGTAGGTGTAAGGAAAAATCATAGTTGAGGGGGGTAAATATAATTATGAAAACAAGAAGGTTTTTTTGTTAATTGATCATACCTCGGAGGTGGTTGTAATTTACCCTATACTTTATATGAACTGAAAAACTAAAATATTAAATGTCATTTTCTTTTGAAGGTACCGTTTCGATTTAGAATGTGATTTTATCCGTCTTTTAATCTGAATTTTGCAATCAATACAAAGTTTGTAATCTTTGAATTAACTTTCTAATCCAATTTTTATTGGCTGGATTGAATGTTGTGTAATAAAGTTATGCATGAAAGAATGAACATTAGCTACAATTTTGATTTTTTGAGTTTTCTCAAGATTTGTAACTCAAGCATGTATTAGAAACTCAACTCAATTATCTACAAATATTGTGTTTTGACTTTTGTCAAATTCGAACGGAAAAATAGAGAAAATCACATCTGAAGTTGTAAACCGTTAATGAAATTAAAACGACATTTAACATCTCATATTTGAAAATCATCAAATATCTCTGAATCTATATGGATTGCATCAAACATACCCCAAGCATAAATTCTAGCTCAAACCTAAGGTAGTTTTTTTTGCAAAAGTTATTGAAAACAAATAATGATTTTTTTTTGGCTCATAATTAGTTTTTGAGTGTCGCAAAATAAACTTTTGCTTTTACTTTTGCTTCACTAAAATAAGTAGTTTTAAGTTATAATCTCAAAAGCATACATGGAGTAGTTTTTTATGGTGTAAAAGCGCTTTAAAAAATAACTACAAATTATATTTGACATTCATATCTTAACATTATTGAATTGACTCGTGGAAAAAAAAATGGTTAAAACTCCCTCAGACATATTTTTACTAGCTAACAGTCTGTTCGAGTATTTTAAATTTGCTAAAAGTCTATTCACAACTTAGTTGGATAACTTAGACTGAAAATAAACATAAAAAAATTGTAAATCGATAACGTAGTTGAAGAGCTTACACTGAAAATCGGTATTAACGGTCATATTTTGGAAGTGGTTTTGATGATAGATAAGGTAAAAGAGAATAGTATATTTTCGATCTGAAATCTCTATTTTCATTCTAAGCTGACTAACGGACTTTTTAAGCAAAATGGAATAATATGATTGTTTTGGTATAAAAAAAAATTTAGACTTAAAGGGTGGTTAGCACATTGCCCCTTTGATTCATGAAGAATAATTACAATCATTTCTTTAGGAACATCATACCGTTGCTAGTGATGACAATTCAATCCGAAGTGGTTTGACTTTTAGGTTTGATTTGACTTTTTGTTTAAAATCAACGGTGGAGAGATCATATGCAGTCGCTATATTTACTCTCTTATTTAATTACTTTTATGGGGTTGTCTAGGGTCCGAGAGGGGTTGTACTACTCGGACCCAAACGATTTAATCTGGTGCGTAGAAAATATTTAGTAAAAATTTATAGTCGTTGATTTAAAGTACGAACCAGTACGATCCAGTACGAACCTATGAATTTATAAATTAAAGTACGAACCCAGTAAAAATATATCGTACAAAGGTCGTACTCCATCGTACTTCAAGTAAAATTACTTTATTAACCTTACATTATTAAACCCGAGAACTAAAGGTAGGGTTAACTGTAATTTGCCCCTAACTTTGGTCATTTTTGCTCTTTGCTCCCCAAATAAAAAAAAATTCCACGATCATACCTCGACTAACTAATTTAGCCCAATTTCACCAATTAACCAATTTTTGACCATAATTTCAATTTTGACCCCAATTTGACTCGTCACCACCGGAGACCGCCAGAGACCCACGATCTCCGGCGTTGACTCTTTTTTTTTTTCAAAACTTTTTTTTTGTCTGAATTTTTTTTTCCGGTAGCTCAATCGCAGGGTCTCCGGCTTTGATTTTTTTTTAATTTTTTTTTTTAATTTTGTTTTTTCTAAAAAAAATATTTTAACTAATATTAATATATTGACTGTTAAATTACTGTCTCCAGCAGTTATTTAACTGCCGGAGATAGTAATTTAATGTTAATTAACCTTTTTTTCTTAAAAAAATATATTAATTAATATTACTATCTTGATTGCTAAATTACTGTCTCCACAGTTATTTAACTGTCGGAGACAGTAATTTAACTGTCAATTGACTTTTTTTTTCTTAAAAAAAGATATTTTAATTAATATTACTGTCTTGGCTGCTCAATTAATGTCTTCAACAGTAATTTAACTTTCGGATACAATAATTTAACTGTTAGTTGACTTTCTTTTTTGAAATTTTTTTTTCTTAAAAAAAATATTTTCATTAATATTACTGTCTAGGGCTCAAAATTACTGTCTCCAACAGTAATTTAACTGTCTGAGACAATAATATTACTGTATTAATTATTTTTATCATCTTGGCCTGCATTATTGTTGTCTTCAACTGTAATATTATTGTCCTCGACCGTAATATTACTGTCTCAAGCAATAATATCACTGTTTGAGACAGTAATATTAGTAATATTACGGTTCGGGAAAATAATATTCTTAATATTATTGTCCGAAACAGTAATATTATTGTCTGAAACAGTAATATTACTGTATGAGACAGTAAATTAGTAGGCAAGTTAGTAATATTAATTAAAATATTTTTTTCTAATAATTTTTTTTGTCAAAAACGAAAAAAAAAAAAATCAACGCCGTAGAGCGGCGGTCAACTGCGATTGACCGTCCGGAAAAAAAAATTCAGAAAAAAAAAGTTTTCAAAAAAAAAAGTCAACGCCGGACACTGCCCGCCTGGTCAAAGCCGGAATCTGGCCGAAAAAAAAATTTCATAAAAAAATTTATTTTCAAAAAAAAATATTTTCATTAATATTAGTGTATTGGCTCAAAATTACTGTCTCCAACAGTAATTTAACTGTCTGATACAATAATATTACTGTATTAATTAATTTTATCGTCTTGACCTGCATTATTGTTGTCTTCGACTATAATATTATTGTTTTCGACCGTAATATTACTGTCTCAAGCAATAATATCACTGTTTGGGACAATAATATTAGTAATATTACGGTTCGGGAAAATAATAGTCATAATATTACTGTCCGAAACAGTAATATTATTGTCTGAAACAGTAATATTACTGTATGAGACAGTAAATTAGTAGGCAAGTTGGTAATATTAATTAAAATATTTTTTTCTAAGAATTGTTTTTTTTCAAAAACGAAAAAAAAAATCAACGCCGTAGAGCGGCGGTCAACTGCGATTGACCGTTCGGAAAAAAAATTCAGAAAAAAAAAAGTTTTCAAAAAAAAAAAAGTCAACGCCGGAATCTTGCCGGAAAAAAAATTTCAGAATTTTTTTTTGTTTTCTAAAAAAAAGTTTTTTTTTTTAAATTATTAAAATGGGGGTTAATGTGATATATTTGTTTAAATTCGAGGTCAATGTGTAATATTAAGGAAATTAGAGTATAATGGATGAAATTGATAAAAAATATATTATGGAGTATTTTAGAGTAAAGACATGGTGATGGGTTTATTTTAAAGATTGTTGCTTATGTGGACCAATGTGAATTTAAGTCCCTTATCATGGCCCTAATTATTAATTATTATTAATTGTTACTTAAGTTTTAGTTATAGGGGTTTTTATGTAATTTCACTTATATAGGTATCGTACTTTTTTTATGGGGTTCGTACAAATCATACGTGTCACATTTTTATTGGTTGATTTTCAATCGTTTGGGTCCGAGTAGTACAACCCCTCTCGGACCATAGACAACCCCTACTTTTATTACTTAAAAAATTAAGCAAACGATCAGTATAAACACAATCATTTAAGCAATAAAATTATATTATACATTATAGTTTATGATACATATCAAAACAAACGGACAAAAAAAAGGAAAATATTATGAAAAAAAAAGTAATTAACAAGAAAATCCACAAAATCGCGCTTTCACAAGGCAAATTCAAATGAAACGACCACCGCGCAGGCGGAGCACAAGGTGGAGAGTTGACTCCTTCTGGATATTATAATCGGCAAGCGTGCGTCCGTCTTCGAGCTGCTTCCCAGCAAAGATGAGCCTTTGCTGGTCCGGTGGAATCCCTTCCTTATCTTGAATCTTTGCTTTCACATTGTCGATTGTATCCGAACTCTCCACCTCCAAAGTGATCGTTTTGCCCGTCAAAGTCTTTACGAAGATTTGCATTCCTCCCCTCAACCGCAGTACCAAATGAAGAGTCGACTCCTTTTGGATGTTATAATCGGCAAGCGTCCTACCATCTTCCAGCTGCTTACCTGCAAAGATCAATCTCTGCTGGTCGGGTGGGATTCCTTCTTTGTCTTGGATTTTCGCCTTAACATTGTCGATAGTGTCCGAACTCTCAACTTCTAAAGTGATTGTCTTTCCGGTCAATGTCTTGACAAAGATTTGCATGCCGCCCCTCAAACGCAGCACAAGATGGAGAGTCGACTCCTTTTGGATGTTGTAGTCTGCAAGTGTTCTACCGTCTTCAAGTTGTTTCCCAGCAAAGATCAATCTCTGCTGGTCCGGAGGGATCCCTTCTTTGTCCTGGATTTTTGCTTTAACATTATCAATTGTGTCTGAACTTTCAACCTCCAAAGTAATCGTCTTTCCGGTCAACGTCTTAACGAAAATCTGCATCCCACCACGAAGCCTTAGGACAAGGTGTAGTGTAGACTCTTTCTGGATATTGTAATCCGCGAGGGTTCGCCCATCTTCGAGTTGTTTCCCAGCAAAGATCAATCTTTGCTGATCCGGAGGAATCCCTTCTTTGTCCTGAATTTTCGCTTTAACATTATCGATAGTGTCTGAACTTTCAACTTCCAAAGTAATCGTCTTTCCAGTCAATGTCTTGACGAATATCTGCATCCCACCACGAAGCCTTAGGACAAGGTGGAGTGTAGATTCTTTCTGGATATTGTAATCCGCGAGGGTTCGCCCGTCTTCGAGTTGTTTCCCAGCAAAGATTAGCCTCTGCTGATCCGGAGGAATTCCTTCCTTATCTTGAATTTTAGACTTGACGTTGTCTACGGTATCTGAGCTCTCGACCTCGAGAGTGATCGTCTTACCAGTAAGAGTTTTTACAAATATCTGCATCTGATATTCGAAAAATAAAACAAAATACATACACATCAGCAATTGAATCGATAAAAGGAGCTAACAAGCAATAACAAGGAAAATAAAGTAGAACTATATCCCCTATTATATCATTCTAAAGGACAAAACACCTTACTTTCATCACAATCAGATAAATTTTTAATCAACAAATGATAACTCAATACCCAAAATCCCAAAAGAAACTTGAATTTAAATTGAACACGTTCCACTAGATTCTGCTTAATCCATTGACAACGATCATATTAAGAGATCGGACCTTGACATATTATTTCGTTCATTATCAATGTGCAGAGATTCTCATTGATTAAAGGTCTGGTGATGGTCAATTTGATTCATAAATTCAGACATCAGAACAATCTTAATTCTCAGATTGATTTCTTAAGCATTATCTTATTATTGATATCCAACTAAACAGAAATCATCAGCACCAAAAAAAGAATAAAAAATCATCACCACAAAAGAACAACAAAATTCCACAAAAAAACAAAAAGAAAAAAAAGCACCAAGTTGTCAATAAAATTGCATAACCTAACCCTAATCAAAATTAGGAATATCAAACTACAAGCAAAAGCGCAAACGATACAATCAGATAAACAACTGAATCGGAGAAGTAGAAGAAAATTTATCTACCTTGAAAAAAGCGAAAGAATTTGAAGAATTTGTTTGGGAATAGTTTGATGAACACAAGTGTATGAACTGTAATTCGGGAGGAGGGATCCTTGGGTTTATATAGAATTGGAAAACCGTGTGGACGAATTAATTGCTAGCGTAAAAGGGTGTGTATTAGGATTTTGAGTTTCCTTATGGACCAAAGAACCGTCTTCGTTGTTCTAGATGTTTCGTCTTGGTCATAATTCAAATTTGGAATAACGGATGTGAACGAGCCGATCTCGAGCTTTTAATATAATTATCATTATGGAACAGTTATAATCGAGCTCAACTTATTTACCACCCCTATTAGGAATACGGATAAATTATACTTGATGACCAAATCATCCGTTAACTAGTATTCGTTATATTTTATTATTTTTCAAATATATAAGCAAAAAATAATTTCCATTATTATAAAAATGCATAATTTTTTTTTTTTTTTTTTTTTTTTTGAGTTAATAGACGCTAAAATCTCACTGTAACTATATAGCAAATGTGAATAAAATTGGGATGCAGTTTGAACAAGTAACATTGGGCCAGATTTTGGAACTACAAACGGGCCTCCAAGCAAGTTTCAAATTTTGTTTTGACTTTTTATTTTAAATTTCAAATTTCAAATTATTTTTTTATTCTTTTTTTATTATTATTATTGAAGTCCAAACGGCAAACCAAACACGACCTTAGCACCTACAGAAACAAAAGGGAGCAAGTACAGTACAGAACGAGAAATCAAAATGGCGGGAACTCAATAAACCCTTGGCCTAATCTTTACTCCCTACTCTCGACTTCGATAACAAATCTGCATAGCCCAATCGTACACTCCACAGCACGTTTTTCGCACTTTCAAAGAGAGAGATGTATGGGAATAGCCAATTTGATGGCAACGCCGCCTTCTCCGGCGGCGGTTTCATGCCTTCTCAGGCCACCCAAAACGCGGATCCTGCCTTCTCTCCGGCCAAGGTGCGTTTACCGAACATTACAATTTCCTTCTTATTTCCTATGTCTGTAAATTTAACGAACCCTATTTTGCTTAGTCTTTAATTTTTATTACTTCACTAGAAACCCTAAACTGCAATTTTGTAATGGAGAGTTGCTCGAACAATGACAAAGGGGTTGGGAAAAGGATCCTACACTTTCCATTTTCTGATTTTTTTCTTCCGGACTTTTAATTTTGGTTTTTGTTGTGAGAATGAAAAGTGATGTAATTGCATCATCTTATGGGTTTTCCGCAGAGCCGTGAAGCGCAGGCTTTACTTCCATTAACCGTGAAGCAAATAAGTGAAGCTTTTCAAGCGAGTGACGACAAGGCGAATTTTCTAATCGATGGCGTTGATGTGAATAATGTAGGTATTTGTTTTGAGGAAGTAACTATGGTTCAATTCCAGTTAATTTTTCACTATAATCGATTGCTGATCTTTTTTAGATTATGTTGTCTTCAGGTGAAGTTGTTGGGTATGTTGTATGAAAAAACTGAAAGGGTGACTGATGTTTCGTTTGTGCTTGACGATGGAACTGGTCGGATTGATTGTCATAGATGGTATGTTTTAGGGTCTATTTGTCGTTCTTTTTTTATTTGTTAGTTGTGGTTGCAATTCTTGTGCGTGAGTATGACTTATTGTGTGTCCATTACATTGTAGGGTAAATGAAGCTGTTGATACGAAGGAAATGGAGCTGCTACTGTAATACTTTTGCTACGTAGATTCGAGCTTCAGTAATGGGTTATTTTATATCCTACTTGTTCTAACTTGTTTTTCATGTCCCTACTTAATTAGAAACGGCATGTACGTTAAGGTTCATGGACATTTGAAGGGATTCCAAGGCAAAAAACAATTGATGGTTTACTCTGTCAGGTACTCGTTCATTCGATTTTATCATAAGCTTTTTTTTTCTTTACCATGTTTTCAAGAATCCGTTACCATGCTCGTCCTTATCCTCTCGTCTGATATGCTAAAGATTTTTGTAACTTTTCTTAAACCTACTGATTTACTTTTAGCTCACTGTGTGTCCTTCATAGGCAAAACCCGTCTCTCTTTTACTCTAAAATCAACAAATCACCACAAAGAGATTATTGTTTTCTTTTTTTCGTTTTTGTAAATGAATTTTGTCTAAAGTCTTGCGTATCAAACAAACTGGATTCTTCATTGTAATAAGACAATAAGTTCTTCGAGAAAATTTAAATATATCAATCTAGGGTAGCTTACATGCCTTGAGATTTTAGAATTCTGTGGGGTCGATCTTAGATCTCAATATCTGTGGTAGAAATCCACTCTTGCAAAGATGTCTGGTTCTTGATCAGTTGTTAAATGGACCACGGAAGATGTTAAGTCTTTATCTCCTACTTTTATTTGTTTGTTGCTCCGACGATGTCATGGCAAGATTTTCATATTTGCAGGTAGCCTAGAATGTATTCACATAATTCATTAGTTTAATTATGGTGTTCCTGAAATTCTCGTTCCTAATTGTCTGATAATCCTGTCACCGTGGTGTTTAGAATTCCTGAGCTGACTGTTAGCAGCTAGTGTGAAACGATACTGATTGCATTGTGAACCTCAATTTCTTGGTTTTCTTCTGCCTGTGACCCTCTAATAATCTGAAAACATCTTACCAACCAAGAGTTACCTTTGCTAGGTTATCATGTCAATTGAATCAGCATTTGCATTTTGTGTGTGATTTGTTTTGTTCTGTTCTTAATCGTGAATCGTGAATCGTGATTCATCCTTGCGTAAGAAGTTTAATTAAAACGGTTGTTACGATCAGGCCTGTTACAGACTATGACGAGGTTGCAAATCACTTTGCTGATTGTATTTACGTCCACTGCTACAATACAAGATTACGGGTACGATATAGACTGATTCCGAGCACCATTTTATGAGTATACATTGATGAAATATCATGTTCCGTTTTAATATTTAATATTTTTTTTTGTTTTCCCTCCTCTCTGTAGAAGTCACAGGATGCTCACCAAGTGCCAGGTCACATGCAGAATTCAACTTTCAATACTCCTTCAAAGGGCTACCAATCTACTCCGTCAAATAATGTAAGTGTAAACCGTTATCCTGAAATGAAATTTGGAGTGCCTATCCTTCTCAATCACATGCATTGATTGTCTGATACAGGTTTCTGTACAATATAACACGGACGAGGTCAAGGGCATCGAAAGAAAAATCTTAGACTTTTTGCAGCAGCCGTCGTGCATGTAAGTTGTACAAACACCGTCCATCTGCCTTGCCCTTCGACTTTTTTAATGCAGAAATTATCTTGCACATGCTTGTCACAGTATGTTATAATTGCACACAAGCACACATTAAGTCAATGGTTTAGTACTTGCGAGTGGAAGCATGTGTTACTCTTGCGTTGGTGTTATTCCAACAAATTTCTGGATCCGATGAATATTTTTTACGGATTACATATGCATGTCTGATGCCACAGAATTACTTCATTTAGGGATGCTAGTCTTCTTACATGAATTCTTAGAGTGACAAATAAAATTTAAAAATGCCTTCCGTCGCTTACAAGTTGTGTAACCTTAATAAAATAATTTATTGTAAGATGTAGCTCTCCTTATTTTGAATTTTGCGTGTTATCTCTTTCTATACTCAAGCACTCTTACAGTTGTACAAGGCATAGAACTCGGCTGGTGATGTTATGTACCACAAAGATTTGTGTACTCATTACAGGAACATTCAATTCTATATAATTGCTACGATCTTTTTCCCTATTGTTGGAAAGTGCAGTATTTATTTTTTTCCTTTCTGCCTTCCGCTTTGAGAATCTGCATTTTAGTATATACCATTATCTAATCAGAATCTTTCACTTGTACTCTTGAGTAATCGATCTGTTGAGGTTAAGACATTACTAATGTTCTTCGTGTGTTGCAGTGCAAAAGAAAAAGGAGTTCATCGTGATGAATTTGTTCAATATCTGAACGTCCCAGAGAATAAGATTTTGTAACTCCTCTCTCTCTCTCTTCTCTCGGCTTTTCTCAGCTTTTCTGTACATTTGAACTCTCTTGAGCATAATATTCGATCTCTGTTTTTTTTTATTCGTGGTGCCTTCTTACAGGGAAGCTATCGAATCTCTGGAATCAGAAGGTCTTATTTATTCAACAATTGATGAATTCCACTTCAAGTCCACTGCCAACGGTTGAAATTTAATGCAACGGGTTTTAACTGATAGCCGTAGCAAGTAAAAGAAACAACCTTATCTTTGTCAGTACTTTATATCTGCAGCTATGAGTTATTGGGTATACGTGCGTATGATAATCTTCATTTTCGTCTTGTGTTAGTTTCCTTTTTTGTTGGGTGATGTCGAACTCGAATGTTATTCATTTGAATGAACTAAAATTATTGGATTTTGCAGCTTTTGCCCCCCCCCTCTCCCTCTCTCTCTCTCTCTCTCTCTCTCTCTCTCTCTCTCTCTCTCTCTCTCTCTCTCTCTCTCTCTCTCTCTCTCTCTCTCTCTCTCTCTCTCTCTCTCTCTCTCTCTCTCTCTCTCTCAGAGACACGCGCACACACACGTTGGTACTTGGTGATTGTCCGTTCAGCTTTTGACGATACAGGAAACAACCGATACTCGTAAAGTTTTGTAAACAAAAAAAATATGTGGTTGTAGCATCAAATTAACCACAAATGGCTTCAATTTTAGATTTGTGATGTTAATAATATATGTTTTTTCTCTGAATTAATTAACAATTTAATTAATTAAGCCGGCTAATTTCTTCCAACAGATGATATCTTACCCACCTGGTAAGTGTGTAAGTTTATGTATTATTTTGTACGGAAACAATTAATAATAGGCGGCGGTTATATGCGAACCCATTTTCTTATTAGTTCAAGACCTCCAACATAAAAATACTAATTTACCCTTAATGAAATTTAAAATCAAATAAAAAACACATAATATTAAAAAAAAAAAAATTATTTCTTTTGTGCAAGACCAAATAAAATACATAAATCTAGAAACCCCTCTTCCTTATTTCACGACTTAAAACTCTCCTTCTTCTTCTCCTTCTTCTTCACAAACCCATAAAGAAATCCTACACACCAAAATTATCCAATACATACCAAATATTGACGATGGAACCAGAAAACAATGATATGGTGGTTTACGAGGGTGGAGAACACAATGAAATATGTTTTAACCGTTTATTTTTGCTTTTGGGACGTCTTTTTTTTTGTTGGAAAAAAAATTCGACGATACAAAAAATCGGTCTGCAAATACCGATTTTTGTTACTAAAGTCGGTAACCACATTCCGATTATTTTAATAAAAATCGGTACTTAAAAACCGATTTTTGTAGTAAAAATCGGCATGACAACACCGATTTATTTTTGTATTATCGGTATTGTCATGCCGACTTATACTACAAAAATCGGTTTTTAAATACCGATTTTATTATCTATGTTTTTTAAGACCGTTTTCTCATACTTTCGTGCATCAACCTAGGGAATTGATGGAGGATTATTCAAATGAATTATTTAACGAATAAATATTTGAGATACGGAAAGCTCTACTCGATTGGGTTAAAGGAGTGGTAGATGCCACCGAATGGTGATAAACATTTTCGTTTCAAATATTTAAAAAATATCAATTAACCAATTATATAATGTATTATTTAAAAAAAATTTCAAAAAATATCGGTATTCAAAAACCGATTTTGTACTCAATAATCGACATTAGAACGCCGATTTTGACTTGTAAAGTCGACGTTGTGTCGCCGATTTGGTTAACAAAAATCGGTATTATGACGCGGATTTTCGTGTACAAAATCGGTCTGGATAAACCGATTTCGGAAACCAACGAAAAAAAATAAAAAAACCAATTTCAATCTCATTTTTTTTCCCAAAATCGGTCAAATCATTGCAACCCAACAAGAAATAAGCATAGATTAATGTTCATTCTGCATTCATACATATTTATCAAGAATCGATGTTCGATTAATGTTTTCGAATTTACAAATAAAAATTTAGTAAAAAGGACATCGATGCTCGATTAATGTTTTTGAATTTACAAACAAAAGTTTAGTAAAATGGACTTACTTGTTGGTGGTGGTGCGGTGATGGTAATGGTGCGGTGAGTGGGTCGCTGGTCATCGTCGGTGCGGTGAAAATCTCGCTGGTTGGCAGACGTGATATTTTTTTTTTGTTTTTTTTTTGATTTTTGGTCTTGAACAAATTAAAAATAAGATTTATTTGTATTTGAGTATTATTTGTGGATAAGGGTATATTTGTCATCTTTGGTCTTGATGCAATAAAATTAGATTAATTTACGGGCTTGAACTAACTCATTTATATGGTTTTGAACTAATAAAAAAATGGACTTGCATATAACCGTGGCCTTAATAATATTGATTTTTTAGAAATAAATCAATAAACATTTCAATCTGATGATCGAGAAAAGAAACTACCCCACTCACTTTATTGTGGGCCCCATCAATCAATCTATTACATAGGATCACTGAAAAAGGAATCTCATACAAGATTCCAATACTAATTATTTGCATTATTATAACTACCATTTGCTAATTATGGCATTAGAATAACTACCAAGACTGCACTTTCACAAATTAATACGTGGTCTTTTCTAATTTAATCAATTTCTTACAAAGTAAAACATAGAATGAGTGTTAGAGAGAGGAAAAAGTTAGAAGAATATATTTAAATTAAATATTTATAAATTAATACGGTCGGTATTTGTAAACTTTTATTAATTCAGAGAATACTAAATTATCGAACTAATAATTTACTATAGTTTTATGGAGTCGGGACAAAAAAAAATTATTGTGGAAGTGAGATTATTAATTTATCGAGATACCATATTTCTAAAATTGCCAATTGGATTAAAAGAAAAACATATATCGTGATTGACTCGTGACATCATGGATGATGTCATCACTAATTAAGGATCTAATTAAATCTCTCTATAATTACTTTTTGGGGCTTAATTAATGTTGTATGATTCACACGAGTCCAATGGTGGAGTTTGCTGTAGATAGAAGATAGAAACTAAACAAAGTTGAAATAAATAATAAAAAAGTTGTTGGCTACCTATGTGGATTGCAAATATGCATTGGAGACCATTTTTTTTTTTTTTAATTTTCATATATTTGTGTGACTTCGTGCACCAAGTCACCAAGTCTATTCCACTTTTGTGCAGTGTTTGGTTGTTGACACGTGCCACGCATATCTAACCTATACACTGGTTAATTTTTTATTTGGTAAATTAAGGTCTCCTCACTAGAGAAAAGGTCAAATTATAAAAAAATATTTATATTTCGGTAATTACAACCACCACTTACCTAAGATTTATTATACATCAATCACTGCGGTGCCAAATTTAGTGAGTCTTTTAGATTGTGTGGAATATTTTCTAGTTTGAACTTGTTTTACCCCATTCGAGCTCTACATTTTGAAACAAAATAATCATAAGATGTGTCTCTTGGCTTGTAAATATCGGATTGTGGTGCGCCAGAAACTGCATTTCTGTACAAAACGAATATAAACTAGAGAACATTCCACGAAATCTAGAAGATTATGTTAAAATTGACACATAAAGGTGGACGTGTAAAAATATTCATAGTTGAAGAGAATAACTGTAATTACCCAAACAAGAGGGGTTTTTTGGGGTTTTTCCGTAATGACTGTAATTTACCGTATTTTTTTGCATATAACTAAACACGAGCAAAACAGCAGCTGAAAGAGGGGCACAATAATACGGGGCTTGAGAAAAGAAAAAAAACATATCCAGTTCTTCATTTTGCAATCATTTAACATTTTTTGTCATTTCCATCGATGTTCTGTTATTACAAATGAAATATTATCAAGCATGTGACCGTCACTGTCTTAACTGACGAACTAACGGTAACTTGTCGAAAATGACCCGAGAGTTTCAATTGTTGAAACATGAATGTGAAATCGAAGTAAAAATTGAAGGACTAAACGTGTAATTTTGCAAATTTATATATATTCCATGATTGGAGAGTTGAATCGTGTGTGAAAATGTGAGAAATGTGACAGTTGTTTGATGTTTTAACAACCTCTGATTCCATTACAGCTGGTTTAATTTGATGGATCCCCTTTTACCAAACCTTGTCCCATCCACACCACACACACACATATTTCAATAAAATAAAATAAGTGTATTAATCTTTAATTTTCTTATGCAATATGAAGGACATTAATTAAAAATTGTGAGAAATAAAATTTACAGGAATTAGTATATTGCATTATTAATTAATTGCCCAAAACTGTTTTAATTAGGTAAATCATTTTTCAGATTTTTGTGATTAATTAATTTACCCTTAAAAAATGTTTACCAATTTTTCACACAGACACACATATTATCATGATTCATGTGTGTGTTGTATAAGAAAAATATTTTAGATGATTAACTAATAATAATAATTAATCATGCATACACAATAAATAATTCAGCATCCTTAAACCCGACATTGACAATTACCATAGAACCCTCACACATATACATGTGTATACATACTAGGAAAACAGACTATACATATATTATATATAATTATATTGCTGTCGAATAATACTAAATAATTTTACATAATTTTGTGTAATTAAAAGTCAGTATGAGAAGAATATGACGTGCACGAGAGTGGTATTAAATTAACAAAACCACTAATTAAATATTTATCAACTATACTATAACAAATACTAATATTAACAGTGACATTTATATGTAACAAAGTTGTCACCATAGATGGCTATATCAATAATTTATTTATTTTTATTTTTTATTTTATTTTGAAGAAGAAGAAGATAGCTACATCAATAATTCAATACAATGACAACAAATATGAACTATTAGAGGCAAAATACAAAGTTTAATCATCGAATATAAATATTAACGATAAGTCCTGATTAAATATTTTTTTTAATGAATGAAACTAAGATTAAATAATTTGAGAAAGTCAAACCACCAAAAAATAAGAGAATTACACATTGATGATGTATATGATAATTACTTTTTTTGTTGTTGTTGTTGTCATATATATTATAATTACTTTAATAATTAGGCAATTCCATACAATGACGAAGTCCTCAAATTATAATTCTAATATTTTGTGGGAAAATTAGATGTTAAACTTGGTTATTTACGATGAATGAATTTTAACCGTAAATATATATATAATCAAACACACCCATTTATATGTGTATTCAGTGGACACTTATTTAATCAAATATATAGTTTAAATTCACCCGATATAAATAAATCCCCCATTTTTTTTTAAAAAATAATTCAATCTTTTCCCACGAAAATGAGGACCAATCTCTTTCAACTCCCACCATTGATTCACTTTGGCTAATTAAAGAGACAGTTGGCAGTTTACACGATTGCAATATTTTCTTTACAATTTTATTTTATGTGCCATATATATACTTCCTCTGTTCCGTAATATCCGTTTCTTTTGAGTATTTCTTTTGTTTCATATTATCTGTCACTTTACAATTCCAATGCTGCATTAATTACTTATTTTTCAATTTTACCCTTACTAACTCTATAACACACTTCATGCATTAATTAATAAACAAGGGTATTTTGGTCCATCAATACTTATGTTCTTAAAATCAAGACATATTTGTTGAGATTCTTAAGATTTGTGTCAGGGTGAAAGACGACACCTATTTAGGAATGGAGGGAGTAACTAATAAAGATTTTTTTTTTTTTTTTTGGGATTGAAAACACACACTTGGCAATTACAATTGATGAAACCAAAAGTCTTTTTCTGTTAGAATAAAATCAAAAGTAACGTCACTTTTTTTCTCTTTTAAAGCAATTGGGATTAATGAGTAAAAGGGAAAGCGACAAATACTTGAAACTTTAGAGAGAGAGAGAGAGAGAGAGAGAGAGAGTTTAAAAATAGTAATATTCACATAAACCAAAGTAATATAATTAGTAAGAGAGACATGCGAGATAAATTTCATTGGTCATTAATTCTCTCTCTCTCTCTCTAGATCTCTCTCTCTGTCTCTTTCTCTCTCTAGATATATTTTCTCTCTCCGGCTGCTGCCGGTGTTTCAAATTGTACAGACAGACAGTCTTGCTGGTTGTCTTCGTTCTTGATCATATCGGAGGCGCCCCTGCTGCTGCTGCTGCTGCTAATTAATTCAATTGCTACAAATTAATAATAATTGGTACCTTTTCTAACTCTCCTCAATTTCCACAAATACATGAACAACTGTACGATGTTTAATTACTACACTCACTCAAACTGCTTAATTTTCTATATACTTGTTAATTAGTTGCTTCTTATATATATATTTATTAATATAAATACCTTGATTGTATCTATCTATATATATATATATATATATATATATATATATATATATATATATATATATATATATATATATATATATAGAATTTTGGAAGGACATTAGTCTGTATATTTATGCGAAGCCGCCGGCTGTGTTACTACTCAACCATCTATTTAGCTCTAAATTAATTAATTAATTAATTCGACTTTTTATTTTTATTTTTATTTTTGTAATTTTGAAAATAGAAGAAAAAAAAATAGTTGAAAGCAAGAATATTGGAGCTGAAAATAAATTTGCATTCTGGCTTATTGTAGCTGGAAAAAAAAAAATCACGACCATGCACAGTGTCAGCTGCTTCTTAAAAGAACATGAAGGAGTGGCTAACGGGCCACTGTCGGCGGCGGTACCGCTGTGGAATGGGCTGCGATCCGATCAGCCGCCGCAGCTGGCTTACGATCAGTCAAAGCTCGCTAACGGTCATTTGTTTGCCGCTAGAGAACGTTCCGAAAATCGGCTGGGGAATGGAATTATCAGTACTCATTTCACTCTTTTCTCCGGTATTTCTATTCCTTCTAGATCTAGTTAGTGCATATATATATATACATATATATATATATATATATATATACATGTGAATGTGAATGAATATATTGATTTGTAAATGTTGTTCCTGAAATTCTCTTATATGTTTTACAATTACACATCTTATAAATGTGAAAATTCTCAAATATTTAGTTTTGGAATATATTCACTAATAAGAGCCATCAATATATATAATTGTTAGGTGGCATTTAATTACAAGATTTTATAAAAGTATAAGTTGGTTACTATAAATAAAATTTAGATAATTGATTATCTCTAAAAGTTGAGGTGTTTTTGCAAATTTTCTAAAAATTCAACTCTAAACAACTAATTAATTAGAAGTTGCAGTGTTTAATTAATCCATACAAACATTAATTTTTTTTTTTTTTTTTTTTTGTGTTGAATATATATTTATGACCTTTTTTATTTATTTATTTATCTAAATTCAATTTATAGGTGACTGCAAAAGTAATGAAAATGGAGATAAAGCTCCATTAATGCAGACAGTCTCCTCGGTCGTCGAAGCTCCTACAATGGATTTTCGTGGGCACTTCGAGCTTGGATTCGGCCAACAAATGGTAAAACATAATTTCTCAATTTTTAAATATTTTTTGTACTTTAATCCCTTTGTCGAACATAATCGATTCTCACATTGAGAAAAGAAAAAAAAATGAGATGTAAAACTGTTTATCGAAAAAACAACGCAGATTTGTGGGAAATATCCATATGCGGAGCAGTGCTATGGAGTGTACTCAACTTACGGAAGTACTCAAATTGCGGTTAGTCCATTTCGTGACGATCGTATTCAACGTCTTTTTAACGGTTTTTGATGTTAAATATGTGAAGTTAAACATGTGAGGTATTTGAATCAAATTTGCTGGATGTCTAAATGCTAATTGTATTTATGTTTGTTTGTTTTTTTTTTTTTTTCGTTTTTCGCAGGGGCGTATGATGTTGCCGTTCAGCATGGCTAGTGATGGAGGGCCGATATTCGTAAACCCAAAGCAGTACAGTGGGATCATTAGGCGCAGAAAGAAGCGCGCTAAGGCTGAACTGCAGAATCGACTACTCAAACTCCGCAAGGTATATATATGTTTTAAGTTAGAATATTCATAAATTTCAAGACCAACATTTCGAATCGTCGATCAAGAAACAATTTCATTTAAAGCATTACGTACAGTTAAACCTCTATAAATTAATACAATTAGGACCAGCGAAAGCGAAACTCTATTAATTTAGCGAAACAAATTTTTAGCATGTTGTCTTCGAGTCAGGACCAGAAAAAGATATTATTTAAACGAGGTTAAATTAATCGAGGTTCTACTATAGTTGAATCTCTGGAATAGTTCGAGGTTGGTTCTTGTAAATGTTTAAGTAGTTCTTTACTGTAAGAAAAATTAATATTACCGATATAACTACGCCTCAGCCGTTACACAGATACGGCAAACGCGTGAAGTTTCCCCGTGTCGGAAACGTTTCGGACACGAAACGCGAAGACACCTATAAGAAACGTTGTTGGGCCTTATCTGTAATATTTGAAAAGTTGGACACACGTATTACCCTAAGTAGATACACGTGTCAAGGGGGAAAAAAAGAATTTTGTTTTTTACAAATCTGATTATTTGGGATTTTGTGAAACTGGAGGTATAAATTGGCAGCTCTCTCTCATTAATCCGATAATTAATTGCAAATTTATTTGAATAAACGTATTAAATATTCATGTAAATTTTAATATTATAAATAAAAAACTAAAACATAATTTAGTAATAATTTATAAATAAATCCCTATATTTTTAATATTTATACGTATATATCCTTCACGTTTCCGTGTCCTACTTTTTTTGATTAAGTGTATCCCGGTGTCCGTATCCGTGTGTCGCTGTGTCCCCGTTCCCGTGTCTATGTAACATTTACTACGGTGATAATAAATATTAAATATTGTCGTTAATACAAATATTATATGACAATGTTTTGTAATTTCATCACGAGTGATCGATTCCTTATAAAAATTGAACTATATATGAATAGCTATGGTGACAGGTTTTGTGACGATTTTCGTGTTATACTTTACGGTACGAAATTAATGCGCGGTGGTTTAATTTGCAGCCATATCTGCACCATTCGCGCCACCTCCATGCAATGAGGCGTCCAAGGGGAAACGGTGGCCGCTTCCTCAACACAAAAAACTCCGGCGACACCACAAAAAAATCCGCCGGAGAAAAACAGCTCCGGCAGCAGAACTTTGGCGGTTCCAACGAGAGCAGCAGCAGATCCACCAGCCCAGGCTCAGAGGTCACCACCAGCAACGATCACGGTGGCTACCTTTTTTCCACCGCTGTTGCTTCTGCTGCTACTACTACTACTACTATTAATACTGATGTTCAGTATCCTTTTCAAATGAATCACGTCCATCGATCATTTCATCAATTTACGGATCGTGCGGTGAATACAGCGCCACTTGGCATTGCGATGGCCGGTTCAGGTGGTAATTACCTGAAAGTTTGATGATCTGATGAGAGGAGAAATATGGGTGAGAAAATGATAATAATTATTATCAATTCTCATTCAGTGATTTGTTCGCTTGGGCAACTCATTCTTGGCTATCTCCCACATCGGAGTAAAATGAATCTATCTTCGAATAACAACGAATATTCCAGTATTAAATAATATGTTTAATACGTCCCCCTAATAATTTAGTGCAGAAAATGTATGGAAGTACTGCTTAAGTTGTAGTAATTTTATTTGCTGATGTTTTTTTTTTGTGTGTGTGTGTGTGTGTGTGTGTGTGTTATCGATCTTCATGTAATAACGATATTGTGGGAATATTTTTGTACTTTTGTAATATGCTCTTTCAGCTCATACTATCTCAATATTCGCTGGTTCAGCTCGTTAATTGAATTTGTTCTTATTACGATTTTTTTGTTCACAAGTGTGTGAAAAACTGTGTTAGTGTGTGTAACAGAAACGCAAACAATCACTGACAACTGAACTGAACGCAATACATTCTTCAGCTTCCCAGAAGAATGAATTGCTGATCAACAGTTCTTTTTAAAAAGGGTAAATTACAACCAATTCAACCTCTGAGGTATGGTGAAATTACGAAACCCCCCTCTTGTTTGGGGTAATTACAACCACCCATCAACTATAAATCTTCTTATACGTCCACTCTTGCGGTTTCAAATTTAGTGGAAGATTATATGGAATATTATCGTTTTTTTACCCGTTTGATTTGAAGCAAGATCATCATAATATGTATTTTTTGGCTTGCATATATCAGATTGTGGTGCATAAAAAACTGTAGTTTTATACAAAACGAGTACAAACTAGAGCACATTCCACGAAATCTAGATGATTAATTTGAATTTGACACCATAAGGGTGGAGGTGCATAGTTGAGGGGATTAATGTAATTACCCAAATAAGATGAATTTTTTCATAAATTGACCATACCTCGTAGGCGGTTGTAATTTACTATTTTAAAAATGAATTATTTTATTAAGTAGGCTCTTTAGCGGATTTTTATTGAACAATTTAGTGTGATTATTGATTATGAATATTTTGATTTTGGATGGAAATTATTTCCTTGGATGTTTTGGGTGTAAGATTTTACATGTAGGGGCTTTTTAGCATTTTTCTCTAACTTATATGCCTAAATCGAAAATACTCATAAGCATGTACCAGTACAAAAACAAAATTTTCAAAACTTTAAACCCAAACCTTATCTCCACTTATCTTCCCCAATTCAAAACCCCCAATTCTTGATTTTCCACTGCCAATTTTTTTCTTCTAATTGGAGCTCAACAGGAAGAACAAAAAAAAATGTCAGCATCTTCTCTTACAATGGCGGCAGCCGCCTTTGCCACGTCATCACATTCTCTTTCTTCAACTTCAGTTGATCATCTCTCTCTTCATCTCTTCCCCTTTTCTAAGGCAAACCCCATAAAAACCCACCCTTCAAAGCTCAAGTCTTTTTTCAACTGTTCTTCATTCTCTTCCCTCTGCCGCTCTTCTTCAGTTTACTGCGCTTCGACTGCGTTTGACAGCGTCGAGTTGAATCAAGAAGATGTTGATGATGATGATGATGAAGATGAAGAAGAAGATATTGATGAAGAAGAAACATTGTCCGAGATTCAAGATGAAGGAGCTGACGTGTCACAGCCCTCTGGGAGGCTGTACGCCGGGAACTTGCCGTTTTCGATGACGTCTGCGCAGTTGTCCGAAATCTTTGCCGAAGCTGGCCGTGTTGTTTCGGTGGAGGTATATACTTTTATTTTTTTTGCCAATTTTTTTTTCTGAATCAAAATTGAAGTTAAATTTATTTAGGTTTAATGTTTGGTTCTTGATTGCTCATATGCACAAAATTCGTGAAAGGGTGTGATGCTAATCGAGTGATACGAGAATTTAATTGTATGTAACTTGAGTGATTATTGTTGCGTTTGTCGATTTGGGATTGACAGTGGTTTTAATTTGTCCGTTTAAAGATTGTGGCAATGTAATAATAACAATGCTGATTTTTGGTCTTAAAGATTGTGTATGATAGAGTTACAGATAGGAGCCGAGGATTTGCGTTTGTTACTATGGGCAGTGTTGAAGAAGCCAAAGAGGCGATCCGGTTGTTCGATGGAGCTGTAAGTTGTCTTTGTTCCGTTAAATCTTTAGCATTTTTCATGTAATAGAACGGTTAAAATAGCTCAAGGATTTCGTTCCATGTCAATAAAACGACGTAGTAATAGTACCGATATATGTAGCTATTGGCCTTTTTTTTTTTAGGTTGCAACTCGAATGTCTTGACATACTTAGGAAGAATCAAGATTGCCTTGTTTCGTGGCGGAGCCGTAATTTATTTTTATTGGGACCCAAATAAACACTAAAAAGTTCTTTCTTGGGCCGACAATAATATAATGGGAGATGCTCAAATGTTTTTTTTTTTTTTTTTTTTTTTTTAAATCGTTTTATTGGTACCTTACTTACTTCAAATGTGATTTTGGCAAAACTCAAACCAACGAATTTGTAGTCATTTGAGTTGACTTTCTAATCCAACTTGAATCAGCTAGGATGGATGTCGTGTCAGAGAGTTATGAGTTATGCGTGAATGAATGAACAGTGCCCTAACTCACAATAAGTCTACTTTGAACGTGATTTTGACCATCTTACAGTATAAATATAGCCTTGGAAAACTCAAAACATCAAAATTGTAGCCCTTTGAATCGGCTTTCTAACCCAACTTGAATCACCAGCTAAAATTGGTGATTGGGTTAGAAAGTTATGCCAATAGTAAAATTGAGACAACATTTAGCATTTCAGTGACTGTAATACTTGAGAAAAGCATGAGCTTTTGCCGATTATTTAGTTAGTCAGATGAAATGACGTTTTTACCCTTTTGAATTGTTCATGCTAGCAAATTGGAGGGCGTACGGCGAAGGTGAATATCCCGGAAGTGCCGAGGGGTGGCGAAAGGGAAGTAATGAGCCCGAAGATAAGAAGCAGCTATCAGGGTTTTGTTGATAGCCCGTACAAAATATACGCAGGCAACCTTAGCTGGAATTTAACATCTCAAATACTTAGAGACACTTTCTCACAGCAGCCCGGTTTTCTAAGTGCTAAGGTTATCTACGATAGAGACTCTGGAAGATCCCGTGGCTTTGGATTCATTACTTTCTCTTCTGCCGAGGATGTTCAATCCGCAATGGATGCCCTCAATGGATTGGTAAAGCCCGAAAAAAAAAATGTTTTTTTTTTTTGGGAAATGTTTTTGCTTTCTATTAGTTTTGTTAATTATTTATCTTTTTTTTTTTTGTATGGTAGGAGCTGGAAGGGCGGCCGTTGAGGTTGAATTTGTCGGAGCAGAGAGCTCCGGCCGCTTCTTCTTCGCCGGATGTTGAGAATGCAACGGACAATAATTTGGAAAGTGGTGAGATATTTTCGAGTGTTGTAAGTGCTTGAGTGGGTTCTTTGTGAAAAAAACGATGCTCGAAGCACAGTTTTGAACGTGTGTGTGTGTGTGTGTGTGTTGTTGTTGTTAATTTGATTAGATGTTTCGGCTGATTTGGAGATGTAATGTAATTGGTAATAAGAGCTAATGGTGTAATTAGAAGATATAATTGGAATTTATATACATGTAATGTTGTTGATAATTGATTTGAATGTTGTTGTAGCAGTTGTGCTGAAGATTGTAACCTTGAATATTATTTCGAGATCCCCTATTTTCATCTCAAGTACTATTTCTGTAAAGTTGTAAACCAGCCTTCATTAGATGAGTTGCACATACTCTGCATTAAATCAAGGATTAAAATATTGCACACACACACACACACACACACATGCATAATCGAAATCGCCAACACAAATTAAGTGCAGTGTGCATTCAAAATAATAACAAAATTCAATGTTATTTGTTGGTGAATTTTTAGTTTCCTACATTTGGGCAGTTGCATTCTCGTTACAAACGAAAACAAGGAAAGTTGTACATCAAATGTGTTAGAAAACGAGAGAAAAAACTTGTTCAATTAGCAGTCCGACCATCAGCAAGAAGAGCATCTGCTGCTGAGTCCACATCCTGTGGGAAAAACACCCTGCAAAAAAAAAAAAGAAAAAAAACCACCCTTTTAGAGAGAGAAGAAGAAACAAAGATATCTAGAAAATTAATTTTATTCAGGCATAATTGGGGATTAAGATTACGCACGATACACAATATAATCAACATTCGTCAAATATTTGAGATTTGGGTTTCAAGCGTGTGACAGAAAAATGGGCCTCATTTTAATCACGCTTATAAAATCCAAACATATAAAGGATATTTAGTCCATGCTTGCCCCATATGTTTTTAGAAGAAATAATGCTAATCAATCTTTTACTTGTTCTAATCAATCTTTATCCATCCTATCAATATTCTCAAGCAAAGCCTCGGGACATATGCAACACATAGTTAACAGAAGCATATAAGGTACATGATCACATGGTTTTGTAGATGCTACACCCGGTGAAATACGTTGATTCTGCACCATTGATCTACACATAATAACTCACACACCCATGTGTATGTGTGCTTAGTGGGTAGTTATTTGTATACATCTATGGTGCAAAATCACCCGGTGTTTTTCACCGGGTGTAGCATCTCATAGAACTGATCATATACTGCATAAAACAGCCCGTGCTCGAAGTATTCTTGGGAAAAATTATTAAGTTTTACGGGCTTTTAAGAAAATGGGAACAAAAAAAGGTACCTGCAGGTGTTATGGTACACGGTTTTGCTGAGCTGATCGATGTCTGCAATACCTTTACAGCCAGCCACTACTTCTAGTACTTGTCTGCAGTTGTTGTATTGTATATACTCAATTCAAATTGACACGGTAAAAATGAATTACATATGCCTGTTTCTATGATTTTAAAGATTTTTTATTTCAAGTATCTAGAAAGCATAATATAAGTGATTTAAAATTTTGATCACTATATACTTGATCAACAAAGTCTATAGGGACGAGAAAAACACATCAAACAAATTATGATGAAGACATTCATAAAGAAATTACATTAAATCAGAGGCTTGTGTCAAAGATACATGATGTATCGTTCGGATTTACAAGAAAAGTGACTGGTGGAAAAGGAAAAATAAAATGCACGAAAAATAACTCTATGCTATTAAAATCAGTAATATGCTTTTTTTTTCTAAGATTGACTAGTATCATGAAAAAAGAAATCCCTAGAAATATATTAATTAGCATGGCTCGTAATTTTGTGCACGAGCATTTCCTTCACGTTTTTCTTATAATTAAAATATTGCTGTCATAGTGTTGTACACTTCAATCCATGGTGCACACATTGAGATAGAAGTATTCGTTTTCAGCAATGAATTAAATATCCCATCCGCCAACAACTAACACAGGGGACTCAACAGTGAAGTTCGGGGAAAATACGAATTGAAAAATTCAAAGTTTTCAAGATATGCATTATTTTACTAAAATCGTATAATTCTCCTAGCTTTTGCATTTTCGATTTCAACTTACATCCTAATACCCAAAAAGACGTACTCAAGAAACAAATTCAATATCATGTAGTAATGCCTCGAGACTAGAATTCATGAGCATTGCAAAGAACAGAATTTTCTTAAAACCATGTATTTACAATTAAAAGATTTTCAACTCACCGTACTAAGCATGGTTCATTGCGACCTTTAACGAGGCAGTCCGGATCGTATTTCTCCTTTTTCTTAGAAGGCCATGAAGATTTCACAAAATTCATCCCCGCGTGTGTGTTCTTAATTTCACAGTAAGGGGAATCTGTTTCGATCATCATTCTCTCGACAGGAATCCCCTTTACAACATCAAGGTTCTCGGCAGTCTTTAGAGAGCATCCATTTATGCCTATAAAGTAAGAGAAGCATAATTTTTTTATTTTTTTAAATAATCATAAAATCATATATATATATATATATATATATATATATATATATATATATATATATATATATATATATAGGCAGGGCAAATGAAATTCAAGAAACATAAACAGTAATGCCATTCACCTATGAATAGATTGCTGAATGAAAGAAGACGATCACGGTCTTGGGCACTACCAGTGAAAGAGTGAGCAACCCCAGAGCAGAACCTGCCAATTGAAGGATAAGGTAAAACAACAAAAGAGAGAAGGGCTGGTATTTGAAAAAAAAAATAGCGAAAAATACATCAAAAACATATTACTTTTGGCACGGAACCCATTAGTTTATCAGACAGTTGACTATTCTCAAATTATATCAGTCATCTATACTTAACCATCGTTACTTGCATTTGGTCCATTCCGTACTCTTACTGATTAGCTAAGGCATCGTTATTGGGTGGGAAAAGAAAGAATTAAGTGCATCAACCAATTGGCTACAATCGAGATTTTATGTGTCCATTTATCCCTTACCCATGTTTTCTTTTCTCAAGAATATCGCAGAAATCCTCGGCAGCAGCTCGCATATGGAGGAACATTGGCAACTTCACAGCTTGTGCTAATTCAAATTGCTTCTCAAAGTACCTGATTTGAAGTGTTAATTAGTAGAGCAGATAAAAAACAAGGAAGGTTTTCAATCAGAGGCGTACTTCTTTTGAATTTCAGGTGAGCAGAAGTGAAGCCTATCGTAATCCAATCCACATTCTCCAATTGCCACCACCTTACTTGAAACATCAATATAGCCATCAAAAAAATTACTAATAAGTTACAGCCACGTAAAAGAGTATAAGATACCCCCGGCCAGTGAAATTCGACGAAAAAACTAGTTATTTGCCTAGGTTAATAAGACGATACAAGAAGAAAATATAGCATAAGCTTCAGAACGCAAGCTAAGAAAATAAATCATACTTTGCCTTTCTCAACTCCCTCTTTAGCCAATGACAAAAGAGCCTCATAGTGTTTCTCCGGATCACCACTATCATCAAATTCCTGATTCAAAACACAAGTAAAGGTAGATGGAAAATGCAATGAGAAACACGCAGAATTATTATACATAAAACTCAATTATGTCCATCCTGAAATTGAATACATCAATTTAGGTATGGAATCTCACATTACATCTTGTTGGGTGCACACCAACTGTGCAGAAAAGTCTTGCTGCAATAATAAAAATAGTACATGTATATTAGCAATTACGATAGGAAGAGCATTGGAATTACAGTTAAAACTTATATTAGAAAGTTGAATGCATAAAATGACCATCAGTTTCAGCAATAGCAAGAGCTTCCTTCGACTCCATGAGAGAGCCTCCAGTCACCTGAAATATTATACATAATCGGGATTGTATATTTCCGTAAGAATCCCAAAAAAAAAAAAAGACTATTTCTGGCACTCAATTCATGTCCGATTTTCAACTCAATACCACATTTTGTCCAACCCCATAAAGAGTTAGACATATAATCGATATTATTTTAAATGATACTAGTGACCTCGTTTAATGCATAAAAATGAACCTAAAGAGCTTCAAAAAGATCAAGTAAAGAAATTGAAAATGTCATTATCGATTCGGTCTCCAATTAGCTAACCCTAGAGATAATTTCATTCCTCGTGAACCACATTAAAAAAAAAAAAAAAAATACATACATGCACTGTAAATATAGCGATACAAATTTCATTTCAGCTTCAATCAGTTACACATAGAGTAGTATCAATTTTAGTTCATTTTTACTTGAGAAACGAGTTGCATCGATTTGTGCGATAACAATTTTTTTAAGTAGTCCAATATTTAATTTCTCAACAAAAAAGATTAAGAAACGATTAGAAAAAATGAAGTCCAATAAACGAGCCATAAATTAGCAAACGACATAAAATTAATTGAGAATATAATTTCTGAACTGAGCAAAGGAAATTACAATGATGCGATCGACACCGGCGCTCCAAGCCCTACTAAGCACAGTGGCAATATCAGCTACATGATACTGCTTCCCATTGTACATTCCTCTGAACATACCATCTGCACATTTCTCACAATCCATTTACCTTTTTAAATTAAATTAATTAAATAAACGAAAATGCACAAATAAACTTTCCCAATTTCTGACCTGTGAAATTGACGGCTATGTCTGCAACAGAAACGGAAAAATGACGTCACATACATGAATTAAACACTCAGCATTCAACCATAAAAAAATTCATAGAAACTACATAACCTATCATTCGTAGACTGTTCGCCATGGCTGGTATTTCTGAAAGAAGTGCGAATTTGTGCGCCGGTTTCTAGAGAGAGAGAGAGAGAGAGATTGTGGCTGTGTTTCTGTAGAGAGAAGAGAAGCAGGAGATTGTCGCCCTTAAAATAATATTTATAATGGATCCATAAAAACAACGTTTTTAAGTTAAAAGCGTTTTGATGTTTATGGGTTTTGGACCAAAGTTGCTGATTTTGTTGCTTTTATTTATATTTATGGGCTATCAGCTGAGAATCTACCAACCATAGTTTCATTAGGAATAACATTAGTTTTCACAAAATATCTCACATTTTTATTAGATTAATTAGTAATAATGATATTAACTGTATATATTAACTTTTTTTATTTTGTATTTTTATTGTATTAAAAAATTAAATTAATTAACTATGGTGTATTTACTAGTTAAATCAAGTTTTAATATTATTCACATTCTATAGCCATAGAGTGACATCCTATTTGGTGCCTTTAATGGATCGTGGAATGTTACTTCCCCGATCAGATTCAATCCAGTTTCAGTAAGATATCTTCCGATTCCAAATTATTTCCATCGCTTTTACTATGTCATTTCGGATAATTGCATGTGCCAAAAGTAGCAAACATTCTTTGAACCTAACAGTTGATGGGACGTGCATTAAATGTTGTCATATGGCCTAGGCGGCTGAATGTCCCGATGTCCCGCATTCGAAAGACCTCTCATCACTACGGAGGTTCTTTCATTGTTTGTCTTGCCCACCAGAGTTACCCGCGAATGTCTCGTTGTTTGGCAGTTTGCGAGCAATCGATCTACACGTGCCTCGCTTTTTTTATGGGCTTTATTGTGCCAAACTTGCCTAGTGGATCGGTATGATTGGAACTTCTCCCGATCACTCCCAATCTCAAAACCCTCGTAAGATAAAAGTCGTAGATGTGTTCATGGACTAAAAAATACAGTTTAAATGAAAGAATTATAAGTAAAACAACGATAATAAACAAAATCTTTTCACCGTAACTATTTCATCATCCTACTACACTAATTTAAAAGTTGCATGTAAAAGTTAACAAATATATTTACTAACATTCATATTTTTTAATTTATGAATACAAACTGCATTGAGGCATCATCCTACTACACTAATTTAGAATAAGTTAAAATAAGTTAGAATATGAATACAAACTGCATTGAGGCATAATATAGTAAGAAAGTCGTATATAAAGATAATTCCTATTAGATGTAGCTACTTGGGTCATAGGGTCGTCCGTTGGTTACACCTAATTAATATATCCAAAACTCTTTATATACGCAACCACTCTAAATCGAACTTTTTTTCCTTTTCTTAAAATGAGAATAGGTATTGGTTTCACCATTTTTCTTAGGCGCAAAGTATTTACCAACGAGCTACACTTACACGTTTTCAACTCTCGATTAGAGTAATAATTTCACCATAATTCTTTCATGTGAACTTCAATTGCAAAGAATCAAGTTATTATGAAAAGTCACAAAAAAAAAAAAAAAAATGTTGCTAACTTTTATTTTGTACATTTTTTTGACACTCCAATTGAATCAGAGTTTGACTGAGTCAACGAGGTCAACCCGACCTCTCTCAACAAACCAATAATTACTAGATGAATGAACCCCTCACTAATTTTACCAAACACATGATCAACCCAGACTAAAGCAAGATTTAACCATATAGAAACTTCTTTATATATATATATATAGTTTCTCGAATTGAGAAAGAAAAAATAAATATAATCATAATTATACGCAAACGCGTAAACCCCAAATTAAAACCTGCAAAAACACGAGTCTAGTAAATTGTACGTAATCTCCTTCGTTTTCGTTTCCACTTTCTATGATGTTTCCTATTAGCTCTTAATTCTTGAAAAACGTCACCATCACTTGACTTCTCTCTCTCTCTCTCTCTACCTTTCTCTCTCATCATATCGCCCATACAACAAATCTTAATAAACAAAGAAGAAGAGGAAGAAGCACTAGTTTGACGAGTCTTTTCTTATTACTCATTCAACGCCCTGCACCTTCTTCAGCCATCAAAACTAACCATATATATCTTTTATATATATTCAAACATTCATTTCTTTAACTTATAATCTAAACCCTCCATTTTCATTCTCACCAAGGAATTCGAATTAATTAATTCATTCACAGTTAATAACAGAGAGAGATCAAATGAATGATTTATTCTCAGGATCTTTCTCACGTTTCCGTGACCAAGACCAGTCGCCGCCGCGGCGGGACGATTCCCACACCGTCGAGATGATCAACTCCGCCTCCACCGGCGGCGGCGGCGGCGCCGTCAACCTCAACCGCTTCTTCGAGGACGTCGAATCGGTCAAGGACGAGCTCCAGGAGCTCGAGACACTCTACAACAACCTCCACTCCGCCCACGAGCAGAGCAAAACCCTACACAACTCCAAGGCCGTGAAGGAGCTCCGATCCCGAATGGACGCCGACGTCTCCGCCTCCCTGAAAAAGGCCAAGCTAATCAAGGTCCGCCTCGAAGCCCTAGATCGGTCCAACGCCGCCAACCGGAGCAACCCGGGCTGCGGTCCGGGGAGCTCCTCCGACCGGACGCGGACCTCCGTCGTGAACGGGCTGAGGAAGAAGCTCCAGGAGTCGATGACCCGGTTCAACGACCTCCGGCAGAGGATGGGGTCCGAGTACCGAGAAACCGTGCAGCGGCGGTACTACACCGTCACCGGCGAGAATCCGGACGAGAAAACCCTAGATCGGCTGATCGAGACAGGGGAGAGCGAGACGTTCCTGCAGAAGGCGATCCAGGAGCAAGGGAGGGGGCAGGTGATGGACACGATAATGGAGATCCGTGAACGGCACGACGCGGTGAAGGAGATGGAGAAGAATCTGATTGAGCTGCACCAGGTATTCATGGATATGGCGGTTTTGGTGCAGAGCCAAGGGGAGCAATTGGACGATATCGAGAGCCAGGTGAACCGGGCGAACTCGTTTGTTAGGGGTGGGACCCAGCAGCTGGAAGTAGCTAGAAAGCACCAGAAGAATACCAGGAAATGGGCTTGCTTTGGGATTGTGCTTGTGTCTGTTATTATATTGATCATCGTTCTCTCTCTTCAGCCATGGAAGAGCGGCGGCGGCGGCGGCAACAACAGCAGTCCGAACCCACCAGCTCCAGCTGGTCCTTGAGCAACTTCTGAGTTCACTCGGCGGCCTCTTTTTTTTTTTTTTTTTTTGTGGGTAATATTGTTTTATATTATTTTATTATTATTATTATTGTTTGTATCTATTGGTATGTGGTATTATTTGTTGAAGGATAAGGTGGAAATTTTTATTTGAAAAGTGTGAGATGGATGAGATGTTCACCTACCCTTTTCCATTGTTGAATCAGAAAGAAAATTCAAAAAAAAAATTGAGATACTTTAGGAATTGAGGTGTGTGGGTATATATATATATATATTGTTCTTTAGTGTTGTTACATAATTATACATTTTTCTAGTTAGTGAATGACTTATTGTGAGTATTTCATAATGTTCAATTTTTGTTTTACCAACTCAAAGGCATCAAGTATTTCCTTACTTTAGAAAGATGCTATTTCTATGACAGGTATTGTTTAAGTTTTAATAATACTGTTTTGAATTTAAAGATTATTTTGAAGTTTGAACTTGGTAAAACTTAACATGGAATTTGTAATTTTTTGAATTAGCTTTATAATCCAATTTGAATCATCAAGATTGAATGTCCGTTCATAAATACAAATTAAACAATGACTATTGCCCAAACTTTGATGTTTCAAATTATTTAAAATTTCATATGCAACTAATTCATACATAACTTTGTCACATAATATTCAATCGAGCTGATTCAAATTGGATTAGAAAGTTAACTCAAAGAGCCACTATTTACGTCTTACATTTTATCAAAATCGGACTAAAAAGGGTTTAATCACGTTCGAAGTTAAGGAGTATTTGGAAAATTGAAATGACATTTAACATTTCATTTTGAAAAGGTTATCAATCTAGACCATTTTGTTAAATAATATACTCTTTTTTCTAATTTAAAATACCTAATTCACCACAATTCATAATTAGTGGAAAAACAAACTTTAAACTGCCACTTTTGAAGATAATTTATTTGCAGAAAGAACTTTAATCATCAACTTTGTTTTGTAAATTACACGAGCCAAAAAGAATAATTTTCAAAAGCTTTTACAACGCCGTCATAATCTACAAGCATTTTCAAATTGGGGCAACTATTTCAAATACTAATTTTTGCTTACTTGAATACTACCAAGTTGAAAACCACAATTGAGTACATATTTATAAGTTTTTTCTCACTTTAATACCAAAATAATAAGAAAAGTACAAAAACACCCTTTCATACAAAATATTAATTATATCAATTTTTCTTTGAAATTACCTATTTGAAAACCAAATAAAAAAAAAAAGAAAAAAAAAACTTTCAAACACAAAAAAAACCTCCGTCCACCCCTCCCACGCCGCCGCTCCAACCCTCGCCGCCGCCGGACGCCGACGCCAAACACCGCCGAACGCCGCCCAACGTCGCCCAAGCCCGCTGCCGTCGTCGTCTTCGAATACAAGTAATATTTGTTTCGATTTTTTTTCTTTAATATTTATTTAAGGTTTGATTGTTTGATATGGGTAACTAGGATTTGATTGTTTTAGGTAGAAATGATCGTTAATTAGTAATGGGTGCATCTAATTTCAGTCGATTTGAGCATTGATTTGAGATTCGTGGGTCGATTCTTCGTTCACATTTTTCGACCTGTATATGTCGATTTTTGATGAATTTTCGACAGGTTGATGTCGAAAATTCATCACAAATCGACATATAGGTGTCGAAAAATGTGAAATCTTGAAATTGGATGTTTGGTAATTCGACAGATAGATGTCGAATTTTGGATTAGTTTTCGACAGCTTGCTGTCGAATATTCATCCAACTTTCGACAGCTAGCTGTCGAATTTTGATGAATTTTCGACAGCAAGCTGTCGAATTTGATCTGTGTAAATTTTTTTTTTTTTAATTATTAATTTGTTTTCTTTCCTATTTTTATTTGCTTGTGTTTATATTATGTATATTAATTTTTATTTGTGTCTTATTTTGCAGTGGAAGAACCACGTGAACCTCGTATACCTCCAACTGTCTCAAACCGTAAGAAGAGGAAGGAATTATCCGATAGAGGCAAGGGCATAGCAGTCACGACCAAGAAAAAGACCACGACCAAGAAGAAGTCTGGAGAGGGTTCTTCGTCGACGAATCCGGTGCCGGCTCTACCTTCGACTGTAGAAGTTGGTGATTCGAGCAACGAACCGGTCCGAGGTCCCGAGATACCGGAATTGTACACAAATTTTTGATAAGCACATTGCTTATCATATTGTGAACGGAGGGCCAGATCGCTCGGAGCGCGGCTCAGAATTTCGAATTCGAAATCACACAGGAACTATGAAAGGTTGGGTGCCGGCGCCGTTTATTACAGAGGTAGTACAAAGATGTGGATTAATGTCAGTTGTACAAGCATCGTACAACACTGTGGACGGCCATCTACTTAGAGCCTTCATAGAGAGATGGCAGCCAGCTACCAACACATTTCATTTACCCGTTGGAGAGATGACCATCACACTTGATGATGTGAGTACGTTGGTCGGTTTGCCAGTTGTTGGGCGTACCGTGTCTTGCGAGCGTCTGATCCGTGATTCCAAAACGAAGCCCAGTAGTTTGATGTTCGAGTTGCTTGGTGAGTACCCGGACGATGTAGACAAGAAGAAAGCGGTGAAGTTGGAATGGTTGAAGGCTAAATTTAGCAAAGTGACCATGAGAGACAGTGCGGAGAAGAGGACATACGCCATTCGGGCGTATTTGTTATTTTTGCTCGGGTGTACTATACTGTGCGACAAGACAGGCAACATGGTAAGCGTGGAGTATCTAAATCTCGTATCTGATTTGGATCGGATCGGCGAGTATGGTTGGGGCACTGCATGTCTTTGCCGGTTGTACGATGAGCTTTCGTCATCCTCACAAAAATCAACGAACTCGGTGGCTGGCTGGCTGACGCTCTTTCAGTCATGGATTTACGAGCACTTTCCTTATTTGGCGGGTGGCACATTGAAGACGGAATTCGAGGGGCCATTAGCGAGCCGATGGGAGCCTCAGTCAAAGACTACTTCAACGCCTGAACGAGCGTCGTACCTGCGATCTCGATTAGATGATTTGATCCCCGATCAGGTAAATACCAGTTTAATAATTTGTTATGTACTACTTAAGAGGTTTTAAATCTAATTTTTTATTTATTTTACTAGGTTTTATGGTCACCGTATACGGCTATTCGTGATCGTTTCCCGATGCCAGATTCTGCTTGGTTTAGTGGGATGATATGTTGCATGGACCACTTCCAGGCATATCATCCGGACCGAGTGTTGCGGCAGTTCAACCGGGTGCAAATTATTCCAGGTCGTGCCTACATGTCAAAAGATATGTACAAAGCTCTTGTTAGCAAAGGTCGACCGGTCCAGAACTCTATTTTCGTTGCGTACGGCCAACGATTCTCTGATCGGTGGGAGGAGTATTGTCTGGACGAGGAGTCGAGGTCCGTTGAAGTTGAACTCGGGGAGGCGGACACTTCGCCGGACTACATGAATTGGTTCCGACCCAGATGCATGTTACAACTGAGTAGGCATGGAGCCCATCCACCTCGACCTCAGGCGGATCGACCTCGACCACATGAAGCTCGTCCAGGGGGTGGTACCGATAAGGAGGTCCAACTTTCACAAATTTTGGAGTTGGTGAAGGGTACACTTAGCGAGGTACACTTAGAATATGTTTTTTATGTTACATTGCAATATATTTGGGGTTAATTTCACAAAAAAAAAATTAAAATTGCAATTTTTTCAAAAAAAAAAAATTGATCAAATTTTTTTTTTTTTTTTGAAAAAATTGCAATTTTTATTTTTTTTGTCCAAAAACACTTAGAATATGTTTTTTATGTTACATTGCAATATATTTGGGGTTGATTTCACAAAACAAATAAAAATTGCTATTTTTCAAAAACACAACACTTAATAACATTGAAACATAGCATCAGTAACTTTACATAGTTTTGTTCGGAGAACTATCACCATTGTCTGATATAGTAATAATCTCGAAACTCTCTCGCGTGGCAACATTTTGACCTATTAGTTCTCGGAATGCTGTAATCCGACCATCCATTTCTGCAGGCTTCCAACCATCTGCTTTAGGATCATGACATCGGTACCAATAATCGGCCACAGACGGTATTGGACAATTGTTGTTCAAGACAACATGCACGAAGTGACAGTTGTCGACGAATGCCATTCCGTGCTCTTGTCTCTCGCTGAAAAGCTTTGGATCGCTCGATAGAGGAAGGAACGTGAGACACTGATACTTGGATAAGTAGACAAGCACAATATTGTATGTTGAAGCAATTACATGACCCATATTTGGAAAAGACATCCAATGATCACGAGTGGCAGGAACAACCCAGTTACTCACAATAGCTTGCATGCTTCTAACGGTTTCTTCGCCACGGTGCATGGTCGTGTAAGTGGAAAAATTAGAAGTCAACTCCCGTAGCATGTCATCTCGCACTCGACCCCATTCATGTTCTCCGAATCCCATCATAGAGGCAACTGCCCGAAATCCACAGTGTCCATCTGAACCGACATTAATGATTCCTCGAACGTGCATACGAAATCGTGGATGGATCGTGTCAATGTACTTATTCTTGCCGATCAAACCTGGTGGCAATCCCACATCTGCATCTTCAAATAATGGTTTGAACGACTCTTGCGTCGGTATAGTGCTTTTTCCTGACTCTTGAGTTGGTATAGTGTTAATAGAATCATTCGAGTGCCCTCGTAATCTCATCAGTACAGGTATAAGCTGCAGTATATTACACTTCATTACTCAGCACAATTATAAAATACAACTTCAATGAAATGAGACGACAGTAGCGACATTTACCTTTGGAGAACAACTAGCTTGCTTCGATTTTTTTTTCTTTGGCTCCACATACTCAAAATGTGATTTATCCCGAGTGCTTGATTTGTCTTTCCTATTTTTTGCCGGTCGACCTTTGCTAACAACTTTTTCACTTGGCTCCGTAAGGTTAGTCTTCTTTGGGTGGGTAAAATGTCTCAAATGGTTGCGCAATTGAGTTTTTGCATCGAGATCGGCACATTCAAAGAGCTTCTGGTATTCCGATAATTCTTCGTCGATGGTTGGTAGGATGACTTGGTCTGTGGTCGCGACGGGCTCCATGCTCATGTGTTTCCAATACGAGCCTATTAACTCAAGTGGGATAGGACATTTGTTCACAACAACATACTCATGAAGTTCATGGCAACATGGTAGACAGTGAGTTGTTCGGATGGCGCAACTACAACCCATATCGCTCGGTTGCAATAGTTTCGCATTGTCCATCTCAACTTTGAGTAGTTGTTGC